TTAAACACGCGCATGCCATTAGCTTTTGATCCAGTGAAAATAGTGAACACATTAGTCAGAGCTATTCCATTCTTTTTTAGAACATGCAAATATGTTTTCCCTTCTCCATCAATTAAAAAATTTAGGAACTTATTAAATGCTGGTGTTCCTTCGTTACCAGCCACGCGTTTAGCCAATTTTATTTCTTCATCAATGTTTCTATGTCGAAGTTTCAGGGAACTGGATCTATTATTTCGGATATCTTCTAGAATCACTTCCATTACTCCTTTCGTGATAACACCGGCTTTTCGGGATTCTAACCAGCGTAATGTAATTTCATGCAGTTCTTCGTACTTATATGGAGCATCCTTGGACTCGTAGCTTTTTTCTAACTCTTCCTTAAAAACAGTATTCAGAACTGTCCTATTAGGTTGATTAACCGCGAATATTAACTTATGCAAAAATTTATCTTTAATTTCTCTTTCATAATTATTGGAAAATTCTTCCTCCCTTATTTGCAAATTGGGCGGAAGTTCTAATAAACCCATCAGTTTTTCCTTTGTAGCTTCCTGCGATGAAAATTGATAAAGACCACTTTTATTTATAGAAGAACAATTTCTCAAGACTTTATACTTTTTCTTTTCAACATCGATCTCATCGAATTTTAAAGAATGAAAGTCTTTACTGTGCGTTTTCTTTAATTCATTATCTTCCGTCAAATCTAACCCCGTGTTGGTATAGATAATAAGATATCTTATATCATCGTTTAATTCCTCGATAAAAAATGTGAAATATTTATTAATTGAAAAACGAATTCTGTCTCGATGTTTAGCAGCAGGAAATAATTGATTATAACTGATACTAGTATCTGTATTATGAACTTCTAGACGAGTAATTCTATCATTATAATTAATAATAATGTTATTGGACACACAAGAGGTTCTAGTTTCAAAACTGATTGAAGACATGTGTTTATGTAAAAACATTGTATGCAAGAAAGACATTAATACATGAAACTCGTACATCATCTCTGCTATGTAATTGCCAAGTCTAGACTTTCCTGGAGCTGTTAAAGCATGTAATACCTCCTCTTGTAATGTTATATAATCATCTTCGAATCTACTATTCTCCTTTATCTCATTTTTGATAATACTATTCAGTCTGTACCTACTAGGCTGACCAACTGCAAATACGAGTTTATCAATAAATGCTGTTTTCACATGTCTCACAAATGCCGGTTCAAGTTTTCTTTCATTCATAACTTTCACCATAGCAGGAGAAAATCGTAACCGCTCTAAGAGTTCTTCTCTGTCTATCTCTTCTCGTGAAAATTGATAAAAACTATTTTCCTGTTTACTTGTTAACAGAAAATCTTTCAAGACGACACACGCTTCCGTATTCAGATTATCAAATTTGTAAGGGTAAAATTGTTTGGATCGTGCTCTCTCTAATTCATTTCTTGTTGTAATATCCAACCGTGCATTAGTATAAACGACAAGGTATTCTATGTTGTTTAATAATTCTGGCTTGTAGATGACTTGTTCAAAGAAACTGTTGAAGTAGTTATTAAGAGAGAACCGATGTTTCTCTCTAGCAAATAATTTAGCATAAGTGATATTATTATCTAAATAACATTTATCTACATTTTCTATTTGCACATGCACAGTCTTCTTTTCATAACTAATAATTATATCGTTGAACTTATTCATTTCAGTGTCTCCAAACTTTAACGATAACGAACGATATTTGTATTCACATTTAAGTTTTCTGAATAAACAAAGCACGGACAAATCTAATCTATACATAAGTTCTATTAAATTGTGTGGAAGATTACTTTTATGTTCCTTGAATTTAAATGATTGTCTAGCTATGTCTTCATTTGCTTCATCAGATTTCTCTTCTATATGTTCTTCTTTTGAATCATTAAGTGATATTGAATCTGTACATAATTTTTTGAATGCTGCATCATCTTTTTCTTTAATAGAGTGTCTACGTTTATTAGACTTAGGGCTATCTCTAGAATTTCTCTTAGGTTTCTTTGAAGGTGGGTCTTCAACTTCTAATATCATTTTTATTAATATAATATTTCCATATAATAAAAATAAAGAGAGAAAATAAAGTGAATGTGTCTAAAAATTTTTTAAATTATTGTGTATTATCAATTCAAATGTAACTTATATTGCATGTTCAACTTCTAATAACATTACTGTTAATGTAATGTTCCTATATAATAAATACGAATAGAGAAAATAAAGTAAATATGTCAGAAAATTATAAAATTATTATCAATTACAAACTCAAATATAACCTACACTATTGTACTACTAGTACTTTATTAGAATCCTGTTTAGTGATATGTAATTGAGCGTCACACTTTAAAGAAATTTTAGTTTAATTATTTCATTCACGTATCATTATGATAGAATCTATATTTATTATCAAATATCGATATTAATTCTACCTCCAGCGAGTTAACCTAACTTCTTTCTCTTTGTATGTAAATTGAAGTTACTTTTACCCTACGTCCTTTGCTCACACTCCCGAAAATCTTTCTTGTAAGAAAAACACGTTTGAAACAAATTGATTTATATTGCAACTTACTTGAAACCGAACAGAATATTTGTACACCGGTACACGTTACTTTTCCCTCCAGAAGAACGCTACCAGAAGCGAACCACGACACGTGGTTTCTTGGCGCAAAGTTTCAATAGTTACATAGTACCTCACGAAACTATTTGAATGACTCTTAGAAGAGAATAACTTTTTTGAAGCAAATAAGTTAATTCTATAAAAAAAAACTTTTACTGACATAGTTTACTACGTATTGTTAAAAAATATTTTGTTATAAATTGTCATCAAAGTCAGAATAATAAAGACATAAGTAAATGTCGTCATTTTTAATTTTGTTGTCGAGGTCTAATAAAAATTGTAAAGTATTTTTTGCAAATCGAAGTACTACGAGTCTCATTAAGAAAATGGATCTGTCTGGATATATAAATTATAAAATGAAAAATCTGTAGAAATAGATTACATTCTTCAAAATATGCTCCAGAAAATATGATTTGGCATAAAAATCCGCGGTCTAACTATTATACTATAAATTGAAAGATTTCATTTCGATGCTTCTAACATTTTTATACTTATATACTTTAGACGTCTTTTATAAAACTTTGTACCTGTACAGAAATTAGTGAAATCTACAAAAAGCAAGTTAACAAACTTTATTAGAAGAGATTAAAGATAAGAGATTTTACTCGAATTATTTTTATCGCGGCAGTTCGCGATCGAAAAAATTTTCAAAGCTTCAGAATATACGCATGCATGTATGTAATATAATATGAAAGAGTATGAAAAACGTCAGAAGCCTCATTTTCAGTAACGTGAGATCGCAGAATTAACAGAGTAGAGAGTAGCGGACACGGTGTATGCTGACAGACAGGAAGTAGATCAGCTGCAATTCATCGTACGACCTATTTGACAAAATATTACGAGATGTTTCGCGTCAGACGTGTTCCTTAAATTAACTTCACTCAATTTTTCTTATAACAGATATATATTGGTACAGATATAAAAAATTAATTCTTTAAATCCAATATCAAAGAAGTTATTCAACTTTTAAATGTGCACGAATATATTTATGGACTTCACTGTATGTAGAGATATGATGATTCCTGTGAACATCGATAATACTTAATAACTTTTAGCGTTCTTAAGAAATTTTAATGACAGCTTCACTTCCAGAACACCCGTTATATACAGACAAAATCAATATATCTACTGAGCGTAATGCAAATATTGCAAACCGAGGTATACGTATACAGTACACGCCATACCTTGAATTTATTCATAGTAAACTATAAGAATAAATATAACCGACTTAACTGTAATACATTTGCTTTAATTTCTGCATTATGTATCTATGGAATAGTGTTTATATGTATTGTCTATACATATGATTGCTAGATTTATTGTAATATAAATCTGGTACTCTCTCGCAGTCCATATTAATATGTAAATTAAGTTACGTAGACATATTTTAAATGTTTGTGCAACATATATATTTAAGCACAAGTGATAGGCAGTATAAAAAGAATGAAATAAATTGACGAATTATACAATACATATACATATGTATGTAATGTGTATACTATTCATAATTCTGTATCAAATACATTTTCATAAAAAAAACATTTAATTAAAATCCATAATTGATATTGCTAAATACGAAGGCTTTCTATACAAGCTAGAATTTCGGTAAAAATAATGCTCGATTACGTCTTACAGTAAAGGAGATAGAACACGAAATTACGTGAGTCACCAATCACGATTCTCAATCCAAATATGGAAAAACCGTAGTCGTACGACATTTTCTGCATGAAGAAACTTATATACGTCTCTTTTATGTTTTCGACAATGCATCGGTCAAAAAATTGATATTACCCAGTCATACTTGAACGAACTCTACCAAATGAAAGTACTATTACCCATATTATCGTTAATGTAAATGAAAAAACCGATTATATCGTTAAAAGAAGACCAGGACTATAATTTATTCTCACTTACGTTTCCAATGATTTATTTATCAAGAAATTAATATTACATCTATCCATACTTGAATGAACTCCACCAGAAGAATGTAGCATTACCCGTATTACTGTTCATGCCAGTAAATAAAGTAATTAGATCGTTAGCACGAGAAAGGGAATCAAATTTTCCGTTTAAGGATTAATTTTATTACAGTTTTCAAAATTCAGCGACCAAAAAGTGCATATTGCTCATCCAGAATTGTATGAACTTTACGAAATGAATGTATCACTTACCGTTAATGTAAATGAAAAAAGACTATTACATGTTAAACACGGTTATACTCGGGGACTATATTTTCCGTATAAGGACCGTGCATTGAATCGTCGTGGGTACTGCGGTCGCAAAAAGACCAATCGCGTAAGGGAATGAGGCCATCGTCGACCAATCACAATACGCCAAAGAACTAGCCCACCGAGGGTATAAATAACCGTCCCGCTTGCCCGTTGATGCATTCGTTTGGCGACGAGCACTTGGGAAATTTCTGTGGTTGTTAGCGAGAGCTCCATTACTTGCTTTAGCTAACTCAACGATCCGGGTGCAGTTTTACTCTTTTCGCAATTTTGGACATCCATTTTACATTAAAAAATGGTGAGTCTTGTTCAATTTTCCTTGGTTCGCTAGTTATCAAAGAAAATTGGTGACTAAGCTTCGGTTGCTGGGCGAGAAAACGGCCATATTGTAACGGTTAAACGCCGGCCGGCTTCCGACTTCGTTAAAATATTATTTACCATTCACTTTTTTCATTTCAATTATTTCGGGCTTAACTTTTAACTGTCCGATTAAAATTCCTTGCTCCATAAAATTCTCTTCAGTTCTCGCATAGTTCGAATCTGGGATCAGTTTTCCTCTCGGGAGTTCGTTCAACTCTGGTCGTTGACGCGTGAAGAAAAAGGATCGTTATCCTCTGCTATTATTATCATTGAGAATGTACTAAGAATTATATTCTGCTTTTAGCGTGAGTGTATTTCGGTTCATGTTGGACAAGCTGGAGTCCAGATCGGCAACGCCTGCTGGGAATTGTACTGCCTGGAACATGGCATCCAGCCTGATGGCCAGATGCCATCTGACAAAACCATCGGCGGAGGGGATGACAGCTTTAATACTTTCTTTAGTGAAACTGGGGCGGGGAAACATGTACCTAGAGCAGTTTTCATTGACTTGGAACCTACAGTAGTTGGTTAGTATCTCTTGATTTTATTTTACAAATTTATAATTAGACTGTACATTTTAAAAAGTGAATATGCAAAATATATATGAGATATCAAAAACTACACACATTTCACAATATTGAAGCAATGAAAAATATTTTTATCTAAAGCACATTGTTTAAATTCATATAATATTTTTCATAATCTGTAATCTACTTATGATAATTTTTTACATGAATTTGTAATCAAACTGATTACTTCTATTTTTAGACGAAGTACGAACCGGCACCTACCGTCAACTGTTTCATCCGGAACAACTGATCACTGGAAAAGAGGACGCAGCCAATAACTATGCCCGTGGTCACTACACGATTGGAAAGGAGATCGTTGATCTCGTACTGGACAGAATTCGAAAATTGGCTGACCAGTGCACGGGTCTTCAAGGTTTCCTCATCTTCCACTCCTTCGGAGGTGGTACCGGTTCCGGATTCACTTCCCTGTTAATGGAACGCCTGTCCGTCGACTATGGCAAAAAATCAAAGCTGGAATTCGCCATTTACCCCGCCCCGCAAGTTTCCACCGCTGTTGTCGAACCGTACAACTCTATCCTTACCACGCACACCACTCTCGAACATTCCGATTGCGCGTTTATGGTCGATAACGAAGCCATATACGATATCTGCCGCCGCAACTTGGACATCGAAAGACCAACATACACAAACTTGAACAGACTGATTGGCCAAATTGTTTCCTCTATTACTGCGTCGCTGCGATTCGACGGCGCATTAAACGTCGATCTGACCGAGTTCCAAACGAACTTGGTGCCGTATCCAAGAATCCACTTCCCGTTGGTTACGTACGCGCCGGTCATCTCCGCGGAGAAGGCATACCATGAGCAACTCTCTGTATCAGAGATAACTAACGCCTGCTTCGAGCCGGCAAACCAGATGGTCAAATGCGATCCGAGACATGGAAAGTACATGGCCTGCTGCATGCTGTACAGAGGCGATGTCGTACCGAAGGATGTGAACGCGGCGATCGCCACTATCAAAACTAAACGTACCATCCAGTTCGTCGACTGGTGCCCGACCGGGTTCAAGGTCGGCATCAACTACCAGCCACCGACTGTAGTTCCTGGTGGTGACCTCGCTAAGGTGCAGCGTGCTGTTTGCATGTTGTCTAACACGACCGCCATCGCGGAGGCTTGGGCCCGTCTCGACCACAAATTCGACTTGATGTACGCGAAACGCGCATTCGTTCACTGGTACGTCGGCGAAGGTATGGAAGAGGGTGAATTCTCCGAGGCGCGCGAGGATCTCGCAGCCCTCGAGAAGGACTACGAGGAAGTCGGCATGGATTCTGCCGAGGGCGAGGGAGAGGGCGCCGAAGAGTATTAAATAGCACGAGTGCTACGACTGTTTTAATACGTTTTGTTTTTCTTCCTCTTTTTTTGTAATAAAAATTGGGCAAATTGTCATTGACATCGGTATGTCGTCAAACTGAAATACCCGAACTCCTTTTATATTAAATAATTTGTTTATTGGTATATATTCTTACATGTCGTTTACAATGATTTTGTAACTTGACTTTTCCCTCAGAATATAAAACGTGATTTTTCTGAGAACATGCATCGTCGAAGATTTTTTGCATAGAAACTCCTTGAGGAAATAATTTCCAATTCAATTGATATTTGTACAACAAATTGATCAAAATATACAGAATTATAATACGCCCTTTGTGCAGGCACCAATATATATAAATATGGAACACAAAAACTCGTAAAAAAAATAATTGTAAGCAAAACTGCTGTCGGCACCTCAAAAAATTTATAACAAAACATGATTGTGTAAATTGTTTCACTAGCTATACCAATACCGGAAAATGGTTCAAGCTTAATTTGCATTTTATATTATATCATTCATATCGTAATCATACATTTCGTAATAGCGTGCCCGGTCTTCTTCGTATCTCAAGATGTGCATCTCCACTTCATCATTATTGTCGTCACCGTCGTCCTCATCGTCTTCGATCACAACTCCATGAAACAGCCTGTTATAGCAATGGGAATTCATGTCTTGGAAATGACGATACGGCTTGTCGCGATCAAGAATGGTTTTACATAGCCAGCAGAAAAATGTTTTGCACCGCCAGCATACCATTTTATTGCAACCGTCCATTTTCTGTGAAACGAATGCATAATACAAGACATGTCGGTATCACGATTTTTGTTCAAGTATTTAATAGTCCGAGCATCCATCCTATTTTTATTGACCTCGTCAAAAATAGAGAAAACATGGTTTGATAGTTTCTGTCTATCTTTCACATGCTGATAGCAAAAAAAGAAACTCATCCATTAATTTTTTTTTCTCAGTCGCCTACTTTCAAGTCTCCTATTTGGACGCTGGGTATGTTTATGAAGAGAATATGATACCTCGATTGATAGCTGACACTTAGGACACTTGTGGCTGTTAGTTTTGATCCAGTTCTCAGACAAAGCATTCTCCACCAAGTTCTGCAACTGCTTTTTACCGTAACGTAGCTCCATGTGCAACTTCGATTCCTTGGAAGCTTCTTGATATTCGGCTACAATTTTCTGTACTTCATCTGTAATATTGTTCATTTCATTAATTGTAACTTCTGATTAATTTGAAAGATTGAACATGGAATTTTACCTGAATAAATTTTGCATGGTTCTATCCCATGATATACTGATTTGCAATAAACGCAAAATGCGTACTGACATATCGGGCAATTTGCCATCTGTTCATTTGGCTCACGACTAACTGGATATTGACAACTACGTCTGGGACAGTATACTATATCCCCCATAGTATCTAGCGTAGCACTCAGTAATATAGAATCGTATTTTGCAAATAACTCCGAGCTCACCAGATCTTTTATCTGAAAACGTACTTAAGTTACACACCTTTTGATATAAATATTATGTAAAAAAGAGAACTTACCTGTGCTGGAGTAGTTTCGGAAGTACACTTTTCTTCGGGACAAGAAATATTTTGCACATTTCCATCCTTGATTCTCACTTCTAAGTACCCAGTCACGCAATCCTTACAGAACACATGACCGCAAGGTAAAAATTGCGTACAATGTTCCCCTATTTTATCCAGAAAGCAAATTCTACAAGTGTAGAAATTCTTCTTAAATTCGATCTGATTACGTTTCTCGTTGTAATCGATTAAGGCTTGAATAGGATTCCTCCCAATCGGATAATTGAGAACGGCTCTCTTGTCCTGATGCTTCTGCGCTAGGCTTCTTCTACATAAACGTTTTACGTTCACTCCGACCCTTGTACTGTTCTTGCCAGCTTCAGTGGTATGTTCTTTATCTACATTTTCTATTTTATTCTTTTGAATATTATGAGCCTTCTCCATAAATTCTTTATAGTATGTGTATGGCCGGCTCATGTTCAATTTCTCTTTTACATCGGCGAGAGCTTCGTCATGCAAAAAGGCCATCCATGTGAACAATATCTCTTGCCCTTTGTTCTCTTCCCATAGTTTGTCTAGCTTTTTACATAATTTAATGAGTGAGGCAAGGTGTAACCACGAGGAATATAGAGTGAATTCAGGTGGTGATTCAGAAGGATAATTTTCTGGCAAAATGACATGAAGCATCAATGGTGGTAAATGAGACAACTTGATTTTCTGTTCAGGCTCATCTGGCTGCTTCAAATTCTTGTAGATTATGTGATAATCTTCAGGAAGATTTATAAATATTGTGAAGGCACATTGATATTGATCGTTCTCCTTGAAATATGAAAATTCTTCCGAGTTGTAAATACTTTCCAATGCACTGATCTCATCTTTCTGCTTTTCGTCGTCCATTTATAGAGATTGAACAGCTTAAATGTGTTCAATATGATCTCTAGAAAATGCAAAATTTAATATACACGTTAGGAGTTTAGTTTTTTTCGCACAAGGTGTTCGAATGAAAAACATGTTGATTATTTCATACAATGAAGAGAAGTTCAAATTTCTGTCCAGTCAATAATAAATGATATTTCTAAGTCATGATACACGTGCCAATTTCATATTGTCTTTCACTCCGAAAATGAGTACACTCTGTATTTGACAGGTTTAGGTTAAAAAATGTTGCATACTGATTAAGAAACGTTTAACGATTTCTGTAGTTAAAATTTAATACGTTCATTAACAGTGGAATTCAGATTTCGAAACTAACAGATATATTTAAATGAATAGCAAATTTTTTTAATAAACCGTTAACATTGCGATATTTCTTTACTTGTTACCTCATCAATCGTGTTGGAATGTATGTTATTTGCGTTTCAAGAGTAACTCATAAATCTATGTAATTTTCTATCAGAAATTTGCACAGAAAGAAGTTTATATCATTACTACAATTTGTAGTAACGCTCAACATATAACATGTAACACACTTATATATATATATACACCTATAAATATGAATCATCACTTTATCTTATCTATGATATTGAGAAATCGTTGCAAAATAATGTGAAATTGAAATGAAGAGATAAATTTTGTTAATACATTATCATTAGTAAAATCATAAGATTAACCGATGTATTCTCCTACCTGCCTAGAGCGACACGTACAACGCATCTGTTTGAACGTAAAAAAATGTACGGGTTAAGTCCTCATCGTTTTCGCCGTTGTTTAAAAAAAGGTATCACCGAATTCACATTAGGTGCACCAAAGAGTGATACATAATCGGTAATCAGTACACGGCCACGTCAATCATTCCTAAGTACACGCGTTTTGTGTTCTAGATGGTACTAGACTAGACACTGTTAGACTAGATACATGTGATTCGTTTTGTACGTGTTTGTACGGTCCGACGAGATGTTGAGCGCGAACGACGATGGCCGGAGGTCCGTTTCTCCGATTTTAATTAATCTCGCGATGTCAATAGCCGCGTACTTCTTAACCGTGCGTTTAATACCGGGTATAAAGGATATGTTCATCAAAGCTAACCTATATGGTGTCGATATGAATAAGACCAGTGGTGAGAAAGTGTAAGTGACCTCGTGATTTGAAATTCGAATTTTACGGACGGCTGATGCAGGTAATATTTTTCTTCCAGGCCCGAAGCCTTAGGCGTCGTCACCGGATGCGTTTTCCTCGTGACGCTATTTTTGTTTATTCCCATACCGTTCACAAATTATCTATTTAGCGATACGAACTTCCCTCACAACGAGGTACGCAGCCGACAGATCGCATGAAATACTTTGTAACGTTCGTCGGTTTCAAGGAAAACGTCGCTTATTAATTATTGACGTTAGTAAACAGATCGTGGGGCTTTTGAGAATTTAGGTAATTAATGTGAAATTTCAATTACAGTTCATGGAATTTTTGGCAGCATTACTGTCAATCTGTTGTATGCTACTTTTGGGTTTCGCCGATGATGTGTTGGACCTTCGCTGGAGGCACAAATTATTGTTACCGACCATAGCTTCCTTGCCGCTTTTGATGGTCTATTATATTAACTTTAACTCTACTCTGATCATCGTACCGAAACCGTTGAGACCTTGGTTCGGTTTCTCGGTGGATCTTTGGATGTTTTATTATCTGTATATGGGGATGCTGGCAGTGTTCTGTACGAACGCCATAAACATATTAGCTGGTATAAACGGTTTAGAAGTCGGACAGAGTCTAGTAATTTCGGCGAGCATACTTTTGTTCAATGTGATTGAATTATCGGGAGATCTTTGGAAGGCGCATCAATTTTCGTTGTATTTCATGCTTCCGTACATAGCTACATCGCTGGCCTTATTCAAATTCAATTGGTAAGTTGAACAGATTAATTAAAACAATTCACAAAGGATAAATTCGTATGAGAAAAAAACGATGATAAATAGTTTCTTTATAAGTTATATGTACTTGTATATAAATCATTTAACATTCACAGTTCGTTCAACGTATTATTTCGGTATATAAATTCGGTAGAATATGGTATATAATTTCTAATTGAGTATCGAGTATGAGTTAATATCACAGTCAGGTGTAACCAATATGTCAGTAATAATCTAATTTAGCGTAAAAGTTCTCTACCAGCCAGTCGTACTTCCACGTATTGTTAAGTATTATTTCAGGCGCGAAGTAAGGGTCTCGAGATTTCGAGACTCTTAGAAGAGTAGTTTTCCCGTCCAACCATAATCCGCTTCCTATTAGGTCCTCGATGAACGGTACGTCGATAGTCTTTTCGATTTCAATCTCCTTCGATTTAACTTTATTTTGTAAACTAGTTATAATGTTCGAAGGTGACTGACACAGATAGCAGTACCATCCGCCGTAATGATTCAAGTCCCCTATCACTAGGCCTAGACTATCCCTTTCGCTCAAGTCTCCTCCCTCCAGTCGGTCCAACATGATAGAATTTGATTGATAAGCTTCGCGCATCAATCCGATCGTACAAGCGCCGACCGTGATCGTCGTCTTCAGCGGATGCTGCCAGAAGAATCCATATACGGACCATCTTAATCTAAAACCGATGGGCTGCGGCCACCCGTTGTATACCTTGAGGAACATTAATGCCCTGGAGTTTAATATCTGTTCTGGTTCAGTCGTTATGTGTATATCGTCGTCCCTTAAATTTCGTACAACAGTCTTCAATTTCTCCCAAACGTATTTAGACACCACTCTCGCTGGTTTGTGCAGTTTTGACGCTACATTAACGTATAAAATCTTCTTTTGCCTCTGTCGCAACAAACCCTTAAGTAGCTTATGATGAAAGTTCTCCTCCGCATTACTGAAATCACAGATTACGAAAAGATCTACCACGTCGTACAGTTCTTCTACTATCACCTCGGCGATCGCCGAGTTGTACTCGTATAGAAAAAACGTGTGAATAATGCGCCTGGCCAGTTTGCGATGTCTCAGCTCGATGTTTTGTTTCGAAGCCATGATCGCACGCCACACGACCTCCGGTTGACCGCAGTCGGATCCATGCCAACCGTGGATGCAAATGCACTTCTCGAGGTCCTCGCTGCTTCGCATCTTCTGGTCGTCCACACCGTGCTTCCAGCAAACGGTGTGATTGTATGCCTCGAAGAACGTGAAAGTCTTCACATCGTTTATTGTTATCTCTCCGTTGATTGTCTGGTAGATAGGAATCTTTTTACTAACAGCTGGTCGCTGTTTAGGTTCCTGCTTTTGATAGAATACATTTAGTAATCTTCATTAAGATTAAAAACGAGACACTGAAATTGTACCTGTGGTTCTTCAAATTTCACGAATGATACGGAGGTATGGGTCATCGACGCGGTCAGTTCGGATGGCGGAGTCGTGGCGACGTATACCATAACAATTAGAACTTGGAGAAACAATAGCGTGTACAGCAAGACCAGTTTCCCATCTAGGCGGGGCTGCATGGCACTACTCTTTTCTATCTTAGTAAGTCTGATTCCTCATTTTAAATACAATTTCATTTTGATCATAACATTTTCATTAAAAGGAAGCTCCGCCCCGAACCACGCACATGATCAATGCGTACCTGTTCGAATTTTAACAAAGATCGAAATTCAATTTATTTTTTCCTTAAAAGATTAAGGAAAAAAATCTATTTTTACTTGTAAAATGTACGTTGAACGGTTTTCGATGACAGTTTTGCCGCAAGGTATGCGTGCATGATTCATAGTATCTATGGTAAAGGTGTATGAACTCACAATGTAGCCAGACGATGCGTGTGCCTTCGCGTGGTGACGTTTAAACCGTGACGTCACCGCTCCTCGTCGTGCCATTTAATCTGAAATGGCACCCAATCGCACGCTACGACTTCTTACGATGAACGAAACAACGTGTCTCTCTTCATCAACCGTGGGCTTCTCCGCGGCGTAACGCCACATGTTCTTCAACCTCTTCAAATCCAATGTTAGCGTGAAATACGGAGCCGTTCCACTTAAGGCGTTCCACACTGCTTTCTTCGGGGCAGCTGCTGCTGCACGCCGGGTGCAGCCTGCCTGAGACCAACCAGTTGAAAAACCACGCCCGAGTGCGCTACGCAACCTCTTTTCGCGATCTCTGCAACTATGTACGCGTACATATGTACCTAGCCGGCAAGCGCGATTGCAATCCTTACCAAGGCGCACGCGTCCTCAACAATGTAGCAACTAACGACTGTTTAATCTATTTAAACAATTTATTCTGTTACCCAATTCGGATTTATAAATGTAAGTCAGTCGTATTCAGAAATATTCTATTGAATTTTATTTTTATTCGCGTTAGATTCATTCTTCGTTAAGTTCATTTCCTTGCTGCTTTTTATTGATGATATCCGGCATGATAGATTAATGTATGTACATAGAGAATTTATTACTCTAAAGAAAGGCGAATGATAAATCGAAGTCAGCTGCATTTAATTTATGTAAAGATAAAGAACTGATTATTTTACAGAAGTCATTTGCAGTAACACATTGCACTGAATATGATCATTTTTGCTGATTAGATTCGTTCATTGTTAAGTTCATTTGTTACTTTTTTTTTAAAGGTATCCGGCGCAGGTGTTCGTGGGCGATACCTTTTGTTATTTGTCTGGGATGACGTTCGCTGTAGTAGGAATTATCGGTCATTTTAGCGAAACGATTTTGCTATTTTTCATTCCACAGATAATTAACTTCCTTTATAGCGTGCCGCAATTATTTCATTTCATACCCTGCCCTAGGCACAGGCTACCAAAGTAAGTGAGAAAATGCAACTGATCCGTTAGTACTCTCTACACATGCATGTGATTATTCGTAGGTACAATAAAGAGACCGATAAATTGGATATCAGTACCACGGTGTTTAATAAAAAGGATATCGGAATTATCGGTACGACAAAATATGTACTTATTTCTCATACCTTAACGCCCATGTAATTTTGCAATAGCAAATCGATTTTTCTCTCAGGTAAACTTATAACGTGGGTATTTAGGAAATTGAGGATAGTAAAATGGCAAGAGGATAAGGAAGGTACTGTTACTTGTAACAATCTCACGCTAATTAATTTCATGTTGATTAAAACTGGCCCGATGAAAGAATCTACACTCACATCGACTTTATTACTTATTCAGGTAAGATTTGGTAATTGTTTCAATCGACGGTTTTCACAATTTACTGACGTACATGAATTATTCGATTAAACTTTAAAGAAGTATTCTGGTCTTGAATGCCATTTTTTAGAAGAACTACTAAATTTTTTGCATTATATTTGGTACATACGTTTGTAGATATTTTAAATACATATTGAATTTGTTTAAAGTGAAGACGAATTAGTGTACCAAGCAGGCGTTCTAATGTGTTAAAAATTAATTAAACGTTTCAGGTGGCTAGCAGTGTATTAGCATTCATTATAAGGTACCCTCTTGTTGCAATCTTCTATGAAACATGAAAATGCATGATGCATATTTCAGAGGAAAATAGAATGTAAATTACATGATTACTTTACTATCTTTCTTTCATAATGAAACAATGTATATATGTATATTACAATATATACCCAAGTTTTTTAATATAGAATTTTTTCTTTCATAAATCATAATGTATGTATGTTTTAAAAAGAACTGATTCTGCAAATGCGCATATACTCTAACAATTTGTATTTATTAACAAATTGTAACTACAGTTCTTGATTGTTATCAATTGTTGGGAATAATATGTTATTGTACCATTCTCAGGAAATAAAATGTGTTCCTTTTCGATTTGTAAATTCCAATAGATATTAATCATGGGCAATCACAATGCGCTAGATATTGGGTTAAAACGAAATAAAGTTGAATAATAACAATATTCATATCTTTATATATAAATTTTACATGACTTAGTTAAAAATGTTTTTATAAGCTTTATGTACATACAAAGTAATACAAAATACAGTTTCATAATTAGAATTATGGGTAAACTATTACAAATGATCAGTAAACCACGTGAGTTTTCAACCAGTAAAATTTCAGTATAAAGTACAATGTTCTCTATAGAACGAAAATTTTTTGTGGTTAATTATGCTCTTGGAACAGAAAGTAAAAATGACACAAACAGAATTGATTTCATTACGAAAATTTAAATAATCAATAATTACAGCGAAAGTAGGCGTTCTGTCTTTGTAGAATCTTAGACCTAACAAGAACGAATTAAATATACCGTAAATGCAGCACTTGAAAATCTCGATTGTAGAAACAATCGAAAAACCCTACTAAAATAAAACAACTAAAAAATAACAAAGTTCAGTTCTTCCTCATTTACTAAGTACTTGAGATTTCTTTAAAGATCTTAAGGGGAGATTGTGGTTTGTTCGTCCGCATAATAATGCATAATGTTGTTAAACTGTATCCTGTGTCCACTGTGTATGTGTAAATTTTTTTTTAGACAAGATTTACATTTGCTACAGCGTTCACAGTTTATCAACTGCAGTGCTGGAACGTTACAAGTATCTTCCGATTACGGCAATATTTTAACATCAAAAAATTAATCTTCATGATTCCAATATACAAGATATTTTCAAAGTATGAAATTCGTTAATATCATTTTGCGTACTTAACAAAATCATGCATTTTTCGGGTTCAGGAACCAGAATCTCCCTTTAAGGTTCAATTAATTAACAAGTTACACTTGACGCTTGCGAAAGCACTTAATGAGCATTTCCACCTCTTTATCCTTTTCTCTTCCCTATGAAAACCTTGTACAAAACTATGTTCATGAGTCATACCGTAAATACGAAAGTTCATTCTTTAGTTCTATTGACCATGCATACGTTTTTATTTGAAACTTTCCGGCGCAGTTTTATATGAAAACTTATTGAACAGTCTGAAGGTTTATCATTACGTCCAAGCCTAGTCTCTTTTTTATTGTTAATTGCGTTTTCGCGGCGTCCCTCAAGCTGAAAATATGCGTCAGTTCCATAGCCGTGCGACCCAATGATAAGGCTTGGTCAAATAATTTTACTGCCTCCGCTATGTTTCCTCTGTTCAAAGATTAAATAAAATTTAAGGGTGTACAGATAAATTATCAAGGGACAAGGTCACACTCGGGAAGGTAGGCATTAATCCTTAAAGAAGAATACATATTTGTTCGAGGTATTAATTTACCTTTGAACTTCAATCGTTCCTAGAGTCTCATATCCATATTCGCACTTGTCGTCCATCTCCAATGCCTTAGAAATGTACTCGACAGCTTTTTCGACATTGCCGTTCCATTGCAAATGTAACATACCTCTGTGTACGTAGACTGTAGCATTATTCGGATCTTTTTCGAGCGCTTTAGCGAAATAGGAATCGGCTTTCTGGTACTTTTGCATTTCCGTTAATATCTGTAATTATAGATATGAATTTGCATACAAAAATAATTAGTGTCCTACGTGGGTTAACTTCGGAAAAACAATTTGTTCCGTACCTGTGCATACAAAGTGTAACACTCAGGGCAATCGGGGAACTTTTCGAAAGCCGTTTCGAAACCCTTTAGAGCTTCCTTTTTTATTTGTTCGTCATCATTTATTGTACCGTAATGATAATCTGCGTAACACTTTTGTACAAATGCCACTCCAAAGTTAGGATTATATTCAACAGCCTTTCTAAAATCTTCTCTAGCATTTTCTACCTTGTCCATAAGTAAGTTCACCTATAATTCAATTACAACATCTGTCTTATCTAATGTTTTATAAACAATTTTATCCTCGATGTTTCGTCTCTTAACGAAGTTGTGGAATTAATACCTGTCCCCTGTGATGGTAAATGTCGCTGCACTTAGGATCGAGCTCGGTGGCCTTTTGAAAATCATCGAAACTTTTTTCGGGATTTTCTAATTGCATGTACAAAGTGGCCCTTTTCACTAAAGCATTCACTCTCATATCTGTAGGTAATGTCTCATCATCTATGATAGCTGCACAGCCTTCAAGGGCGGCGTTATGCTCCCCTAACAGCAGGTAAAACGTAGCCCGTAGGAGTAATACTTTCGTTTTGTTTGGCAGTGTATCGGGTTCTGAACTATTGATTTCTTTGGTGCAGAGAGGTATCACATCATCATATTTTTGTTCCTTTATACATTCTAAAATTCTCACGAAGCCTCTGAAAGTTATCGATAGACGATTAATATTTTGTAATAGTTTATACCTTTGAGAACTCCGAATACGAATCTGACATCAGAATTTTTTAATTCGTAATCAACAATCCCAAAAGCCCCTAGATTAAAATTGCCAAATCAATATTACGTAATGTTCTTCCTGACATTAATTTTTCTTGTAAAAAAGGTATTGTTATTAATNAGATAAAATTTAAAAAACAGGGAAACAATTCAGGTTTTAATGCTAATGCAAATAATTAGAGAAGTAATTTAAATAAAGCTGGAACTCCAGAGTTCTGCTGTGGCTCGAAGAATTTAACCGGGTAATAAAGATCTTAAGATACTTACGGTGATAGATTACTATAATCGTTATCTTGAAGCATTGTGAAAACAGGATCTTTTTGAAAAGTGATAATGTACGTTTTGATGAAATATTTACTAGGCATAACCGACTTCTTATTCGCCAAATACTCTACTGCACGTTGTTTACCTGGAGAAGTTTCTCAATTATACACTTTACATTTTATATCGCATGGATAATTTACCTAATCGTTTCAGAACCCTATCCGCCATTATAAGTGCAGGTTGATTAAGAAAGTTTTCTAAGATACAGGCAGCAGTGACATCCTCCAAAGCTGTTTCCAATTCGTTACATTGCTCCATCGCTCTCGCTCGACGTAGTAACGCTTTCACGTACCTTGGTTTCAATTTTAATGCTATTGTACAATCTGCTTTCACAGCACTATATTTCTTCTACAATAAGATGAATTTGTTCATTAATCAATAAATCGCATTTTTACGTTGCTGTCGTAAGCAAACGATAGAGAACAAGTATTACCAATTGCTCATAAGCGGCTGCCCTATTTTGATAAAAAATAGCAAGGGTTTCGGTATTATCTTGAGGGCAGGCTTCAATCGCATCATTGTATTTACTTATTGCTTCATCGTATTTTCCTATCTTGAATAGTTCGTTTCCTACATTTTTGAATACCTGCGCTCTCTCCAATGGTGTCTACAATGATATATATCTCTGTATGGTACGTAGAAAATTGCTATTCTCACGATCATCATTGCTTTGCTCGCCATTTTATCGCGGAACTTTTAAGAATTCTCTGTGCGGCCGTTAAAATAAGAATTTCCTTCAACCTTTTCATCACAGTTCATAATAATTACTTTATAACAAATTCTTTATCTTATATCATATTTATTCTTATACAACTTGCACAGTGAAGACTGGCGTGATTCAAGTCCTGGGTTTAGCTAACTGAGGCAATTGAGTTAAGAAGAAACCCTATGGTTTTATGTGTATTGGTAAAAAAATCTATCAGTATGAATTACAGAAATCTAAGCTCCTGTACAATTTTGCTTTATCTTACATCTATTCGAAAGTCACGAATGTAAGAGGAACGGTTGAAACAAAGTAGGAATAAAGTATTAAGAATAGAGTGAACAAACAAGCTCGAAGGTTTAGATAAATAACAATTCAGAAAATATGATAAGGATGTGTCTTGCTACCTAAGTTTATTCTTGAGTGACAATATGTCTACAATGATAAATGCTTCGTGTTATGTATAAGACAATTCAGAATATCAAAAGCTGAAGGGACATGTCAATGTTTAACTGATCAAATAAATGTTTATGTAGAATAGATCTTTTAGACCGATACTATAAATGTTTTATTTTGCATAAAGATCTGCGGTCTGACGATAAACGAATTAGTCATCCAAGAATAGAACTATTTCTAACCTCTGGCTCGGACGCCGACTTCGGTATATCGCCGGCGTCGATTGAAATTTGCTTGTCAGCCGGCGCGCCATTCTCCCTCGCGCTGCTCTTCGATTTTCCACGTCCAGGCTTTGGCGACGGCTTTGCGCTGTTCTTATAATACATGTAACCGAGACCGAGAGCAACCGGCGCAGCAACGGCCAAAGCGAGTTGCCATTTTGGTAGTGCACCACCGGTCATGGAACTCGCGCCACTTGCTCCCGTCATTTCTCGATAATTCGTTATTGTCTCCGATTGTCACTGGCTCTCGTCGATTTCACGCTCTTCTCCTGATCTTGCTCAGACGAAAACTGGCAGTAAAGGACCTTCCGTAAAGTCGAACAACCATGCGGGACACGATCACGAAATGCACTTGCAGAGCTTGCAGACGAATTCTCGACAAGCAAAGCAAGCAAATCGCCTAGTACGCGGTCCCACCGTTGCCTGAAGTCCGCCGCTTCAAATCTTATCGATATGGTCACGAGGATAGCTGGGTGTACACGTGACTGATACTCTGAATCACATAGATATATAAAATGTATAATTAAAGAATTTGTGTAGTAATTTGCGCAGATTTTAGCGTCACCTATACTCGATCGTTAAACGTCACAACATGGCGATGACATTTAAACTTGATTCTAAACTTGATAGTTAAGATTTGATAAACCTCATTTAATAACCGTGAGTGACGAACATTTTAATTTGTTTACTTCGCTAAGTAATCATTCGAAAGTGGTTCAGCGAAATGAAGCAAGATAAAAACGAATCTCTAGTAAACGCATTAATTAACGACAGGAAAGTCGAATATCTGGCGAAATGTGAAATCTGTTTATTAACAAGTATTTTAATCGTCAGCTTCCTTGGAAATAGTTTAATATTGATATCATTGTACGCTAAAAAGCATCAGATTCGGAGAAATTTCACAAGAATGTATCTATTCGTTGTACACTTGACCGTCGCTGATCTGTTCAACGTTTTCTTCAATATTTTGCCAGAGCTTGCGTGGAGCATCACTTTCCGGTAATAATTAATCGATTCAAATGGAATATAATGTAAAATGTCTCGCCNTATTTTATTAGTCTATATCTTGTTAATATCTATTCAAAATACCACAGCCAAATAACAGCCTGTTTAATTGAATTAAAGATATAATTTGCATTCCTATTATTTGCAATCCTCTATCTCGTCTACTTTTAAAAAATACCTAGTTAAAATCAGATTTCAGAACGGAGCGACACTTTGTAAAACGATCAAATTCTTACAACCGCTGGGTTCTTATTTATACACGTACGTGTTGATCACGATGGCGATCGACAGATATTGTGCGATTTCTGATTCACTCAACTATTGCACAGTTACCTCCAAAAGATCAACGATCATGGTGTACTGTTCGTGGTTCATCGCAATTCTCTTGTGTTTGCCACAGGTTCGCATATACATACATATAGCGAAGTCCATAAATATCCAAAATTGAATAACTCTTTTTATATTGAATCTAACGCATTAATCTTTTATTAGGTTTAGATTAGGTAGGTTACACAGATTAGTTTAATATATCGACACCTATTATATAATAATAATTATTATAATAAAATATTATAGTCTACTTACATTAAATAATACTTGCAATCTAGGAATGTAGCACCATTTTATTAAACTCCATAAGAACACGCGTACTTCAAATTAATATAACACCAAAAGATGCTTCTCAATTTCTTTCAAATTTTCCACGTGAGTTTAACATGATAACAACTATTTATTTGCAAAGTTTTAAGCATGTGTCGGTAATTAAAGAACTAAATTAAAGACAACCTTGAATAAACTGAGAAAATTTAAATCTTTTTCGATACGGTCAGCTATTTTGTATTTTTACCAATTTAATGAAAACCATATTAATGAAAATTTATACGAAAATTAAGTCGTTAAGTCAGATATTAAAAAGGTCATTGAGTTTTGAAATGCGTACGAATATTTATGACCTCCATTGCACATTTTCCTGAAAAAATTCAATACTTCTAATTGTAGTCTTAAAAAAATTACAGATTTTTACATATTCGTATCAAGAAATACTGCCGAACGTTTGGGATTGTTGGACAATATTCGAATCATCTTATGAGAAAATTTACATTACTTGGTAAAGTGTAATTATAGAAAATATTCACTTTATATGGAAATATGGATTTTAAATGGAAATCTATTCGTAGGTACAGTATTACTGTGTTCCTATTACCCTCCGTTGTTCTCTTGTACACGTATATCGGAATATGTATAAACACGTGGAAAACTAACGCCATCGCAGAATTCGCTAATATTAAAAAATACAAGACTACCAATTTCCTGCAACAAAATTACAATTTCTTTGCAACGAAGATTTTAATTAAGACCGCGAAGCAGACGATAATATTAATCACTGTGTATCTCATTACTAAAACGCCGTTCGTTGGATATCTGTTATGGAGAACGTGGAAACAAAAAGCATCTTCATCGTCTATCGATGGCAAGTGTTACTCGTGTAAAAAACAACAAATTACGAAAAGTTAAGAAACATGTGTTATAATGTCGAAGGAATTCATTTCCAGATCCAATTTTAACGTTTCTCAAACTCCTGAATAATGCCACGGGTTGCATTAATCCTTGGATTTATTTGTTGTACAATCAGGAATTACGCTCTCTATTGACAGCGTATTTTTCTCGAAAAGAAGTGTACATCTTAGCTTACGGTAAACAATGCAATCAATTACATTTATAAATTGTGTACACGTAATTGCGACGAGAATTTTATCCAAATGTTTAATACCAAATGTTCGATCAATTAGTTTCTAAATTATAAATTGATTTAATGAAATACTATTTCCGTAAAACTATAGATATTAAATTTATAAATAAGAACGCAATCACACTTTTAATCAGCAACTAATTTATCACTAGGTATCATCGTAATAATCTTTTCTTTTAGATAAAGAAGTTCAACAGAAAATCTCAAAGGCACCCCCGTAGAATTTTTTACACAACTTACACTGCATGAAAAATTGACCTGATTTAAATAAAAGTAATATGAAACGTATTATTATTGTATATGTCCTAAATAAATCGAAACGTTCAACTCTGCAAAGGTTGTTCAGTTGATTATTCTAAATGTCCCATCTCTCTGTAACGCCATGAGTTTTACTGCATCCACAGAAACTATTCTTCAGAATTCGTTATACTTGTTCGTTTTGTTATACTTATACCCCGGCTCATTAATATTTCCATCGCGCGGGCGTCTATTATGTTTCGATGTTTGCATTCCCACTTTTATTCCGATCATCCCAGGGGCTCTCATTCATAAAGGGACTAATACTAACTAACTGTGTAATATAATTAACTTTCCATAACAAAATTATGTAACGGTTTATGTTTCTGTATCATATAAAGAAGATAGACTTTAATTGCTTCGCATATTACACATATTTTGTACTCTGGCTCAAAGGTTTCCTGTAGACGAAATGAAAGTCCAGATTCTTCTAATTGATATTGAAAAGTTACGAGTTTCTTCTTCACTTTTTTAATTATTACTAGAATTAAAGAACATTTAAGGTTGCTTAAAAAGAAACATTATTCTTTTTAAAATGGAAATGTACTTGAGAAGTTTATGTATCTATCGGTAGGCTAAGCTGCTGATTAGTAAGGTCGTTTCTTTCTAAATTGAGAACCTCTGCCGGAACACCTGAATACTTAATAAACGGATAAAATTAACATTAATAACGACTGTCTGTGACCGATCTTATCCGACGACGAATGCGTTCGACAGTCACGCGTGATATATGCGTTAGGAAACTCGAAGAAGGCGCGTCGACAGTATCTTTGCCACTTTCTCAGTCAAAGTACCCGTAATTGCGGTTGATAAGAGTTTAACTCTTTGGCATGGACTCGGAGGAGTACGGCAACGAATTATCGAGGAACGAGGTAAAGCTTTGATCAACCTTGCGGCCGATAATCATAAAAACACGTTGCTTAAAAAATGTGACTCTGTTATATTATTTAATTTTGAATTAGTGTAGTTGTAACGTTTTTAATATAACAAATACATTGATGCGTTTTTAAGGAAATTGAATGTGCAGAATATAGAGTACCGAAAATTCACAATGATTAAGTGAAAGAGATTATATTTTTTAATCTTGCATAAAGGACCGCGGTCTATTTGTAATAGAACAAATTTGAATCTTTCAGTCGGAAAATGATAGTCTGAACGAGGAATGCGCTCATTCGCCAATATTGTTGGATTTAGATAAAAATTCTAAACAGCAGCAAGAAATATTGAGTCAAGAGGAGAACTCGGTGCCTAATTTACCCGGTGTCAATCAGTATTTGCAGGATCAGTTAATAAGAAACGGATCGGGTATATTCGTATATTATATTATACATACATATGTATATCTGGTTTATTCGTATATCGTTGTACATATGTCTATTTTAAACTTCATAAATGTAGAATATTTTGTTACAGGAGATTCTAGTGTACCTCAGCAACAATCAACGAGAAGGTTGTGGCAGGATGGAAATTTCGACGACCCACAGAATAACGATCGAGTGTTCGTGATAAGAGTACCCGAGCCGGAAGTGATTAATACTCATCCCCATTTAGAAATTCTTCACGAGACCAACATTAAATCGATTCAAAGAGAATCGTCCCAAACTGAGAAAGGTAATAAATCAAAACACTTTATGCGCGGTCGTATACTGTATCAGTAGTAATAGTCAACCACTTTGAAACCAAACCATTTTATCTCAAATTTTGAAATACTCTCTGTAGAATTATTTTTGTTCAGTTGTTAAAGTGATTAGTTTACTATATGATGTATAACAAAAATGCTATAGGTCGGTTTTACGAAGAAAAGAATAAGAAGCACAGTTTTTAAGGATGTATTGGCTATACAGTCAATCCCAAAAGTTTATGCACTTTAGAAACGCATTTTCTAAAAAGAAATCAGACGTCGGAAGAACATTGCTAATAATAAACAACAAAAAAAGAATTTTCGATTTTTCCGAGATTTTTCCAAGGGGTACCCCTTCAATTTCTTCCAAATTTTCATTTTTAGCCAATAACTCCCAAACCGTTGGACATACGGAAAAATTGCATACGACCTTTCTTGTAGAGGACGGCGAGATCTACAATTTCCATGTAAAAATTTTCGCTAGCATTAATATTTAACGAGTTATTGACGAAAAACTAAAAAATAGTTTTTTGCAAATTACTCGTTAACTATTGACACTAGCGAGAATTTTTTACATGGAAATTGTAGATCTCGTCGTCCTCTACAAGAAAGGTCATATACAATTTTCCCGTAGATTCAACGGTTTAGGAGTAATTAAGGAAAAATGAAATTTTTTGCCAAAAGTTCGCCGTTTCGACGGTGGAATGGTCGGATTTTGTCAACATCAATAAAATGCCAAATAATCCATACGTAACTCATTAAATATCGAAGTTAGAAGGAAAACAACTTTTATTTGAAGAATTTTTCGCAATTTTGAAAAAAAAAAATTTTCGTCAGCGTGAGTACTTAATTGGATATTTCCTTCTATACTTTTTAGCACGTAGCTATTTATTATTAACATTATTCTTCCGACGTCTGATTTCTTTTTAATTATAGGAAATGCGTTTTTCTAAGGTACATAAACTTTTGGGATTGACTGTATAGCCAATACATCTTTAAGTCTTTTATACATCTCTGTAATAAAAATTTAGAACATGCTTCTCGTAGATCTGAGGATGTTATATGCATTTATACAAAATTAATGTTTCAATTTCAGATTACAAGAAATCAGCTTGCGACCGCGAGCGAACGAGGATGCGCGATATGAACCGCGCCTTCGAGCTGTTGCGATCAAAGCTACCAATTTGCAAACCGCCCGGTAAAAAACTGTCGAAAATCGAGTCACTCAGGCACGCGATCACGTACATTAGACATCTGCAAAGTCTTTTAGAGCCGCAGTACAATTACGCCCCGAATGTGCCCGACAGAAATTATTACACGAATAACATTCCGATTACCGCTAATGGCCCGTTTGATGTTCAACACGCGCACCGATGGGAATCGTTCGGTTATTACCGTTATGATTACCACTCGCCGTTCGTCAATCCGTCTCCGCCGTTACCCTCGCCTATTCACCCACGAATATCAACGGAACAAGACGACCGACAATTTTACGAAGAACGACATTGAGGCTTACTGTATAAGTGAAATTGTTCACTTGTCGACTGTTTTTAAGCCCTTATTAAGGGATAATAAAACTAACAATCGGATGTTGTTTAAATTTAATATACTGCTAGGTAAAGCTTTTAAAAACGGGTGCTTAGCATGATTTTTAGAGATTTAGGGTACCTACGATATCTACGAAAAAAGCAATAATGGCAATGAGTAAAAATAAATCAATTATACGAATGTAACAACGAAAGTGCTGTTCCTCATAAACCGTAATGGAAAATATGAAAAATAATTTTTTCTCAGGTATCTTTAATCTTTAAAAACTTAACTACGCCTTTTTAGAAGTTTTATCTATCGTTATATCAAATCAAATTCTGATTGTTAATTCGATTACCGATAGAATTCCTTTAAAGACCGAATTATTTTACAAACAAGAGTCAAAACTTTCCGAATGTTTGTGGATATAAAATTGAAAGCGCATGTTAACGCGGCTATAGTTCTTAAGGTAGAAATCCAGTAAAACACTTTTCTTACGATTTTGTTCTAACTTTGACCAAGATTTACTTGTTAGTAACAACGTTATCTACCAGTAGCTAAAATTTTAAGAAGCCTAGCAGTACAGTTTGAGAGATATCAATCATTAAAGTTTTGATATTTTACACGGGATCCCTATGTTGAGTGAAGTTTAAAGCAACGTTTTGATGTATTACAGCTAAACACGTTTTACCATTTTTTCAAAAACTAATATGTCATAAAAGACGTTGATATTAAATTATATTTAAAAAATGAATTATATCAGCGGTATCACTTAAGAATTAAATACTTGTAAAGTGCAGAACATTGTATGAATTTCTAGCAGAAGACAAGTGAGCGAAATGATAGTATGTAAATCTGGCAATACTAAACTCGAAGAATATTAGTTCGGCTCATAGACATATAAGAATGATAGAGATGAGATATGTCTGTGATAATACGTATTTTCATCTGTAGGATGCACTGAAAATAGCCGAAATTTATACGATGCTGCACAATATGACCAGCAATTTGCTGCATGGGGAGGGGAGAGTATGCGTTCATGGTCTGCAACCCCCTTACGCATTTCGTCACGCCTTACCGCGACAATGCTCCGTCCTTTAGGTCCATAACTGCAGCGTTGAGATAATTTTTCCCTCACGGCTCGCTTCCCCTGTTTTTTGCCCGTATTTTGATCCTCACTACTATTCTCCTCATGCGCCTTCGCTGACTATGTCTAGCATACCCCAGTCAAGTACCAGTCCCCACCATGGTCGCGTCGTCCCCACTTTCCGGCCGAGGGAAAAATTATTTCAACGCTGCATAACTGATCTGTATATAACAATAGAGATCAGTGGGTGTAATGTTTCCCCTTACTACACGAATTCCACTGGCAGATTCTCACGTAACAATCTTGAATCTGCACGAAATCAGCAATGCGTGAATGCGTGGATGTGGTCATGATTTGATTCTACTAGAATCTAAAGTCTATATGTATATATACGTATATATACGTCTACATGTTGTATTTGTATATTTATTTTAATTTGTTTTCGTATGCGCGAGTACAGGTCCATGCATTGCGCATAATATACTTTCTTATTTCAATACGCGCCTATACTATATCCTATATTCTATCTATATAGTTTACGCTCTACCAGGCTCTACCATCGAAGATGTGATGCAGGAAAAGAGAGAGAGATAGAGAGAAAGAGGGAGAGAGAGAGAGAGAGAGAGAGAGAAAATCAGTTAGGGAAAATGGCTGACGATGTATTAGGTGATGTTTTGACAATTTTACTTTTTTGATTACGGTAGTGAGGAAGAACCGTGCTATATTTTAAATAATGATTTTAATCATATTGTGAAATAACTATTTTCGCGAACATAAGGAATAGTTTTCCACGTGCTACCGTAGGTTGATGAAGACGATCTTGTCAAAACTTGTCTGGACCTGTTTCAAGAAACTGCCATTAGGAAATGTTCATTATGAACGTCTGAATAAATTTTGTAATAGCTTTCGCAGAGAGGATTATGCTATTGGATTTTTATACTGTTGGTAAATATACGTATGCAATTTAAGTTTATGTGAAGTGAAAAGTAACGTAAATAAAATCTATGTTTACAAGAAATTAGTTCTTGTGTTTCATTAAAAGTTGCTTATTGTGATCTGGGTGATTAATTGTACACTCGATCGATACAAGTATTTCACAAATACTAATTGATTATTTCAGATAATCAAAACTTCCTGATGATTAGCAAATTGATGTGATAACACGATGATATTGTGTGATGTGAAAACGTTCATAACATTTCTATGAACCAGAAATAGAAACGAAATACTTTTGAGGGCAATAAAATGCCTGTCAATCCATTTAATGATGGGACAGCATTTGGCTAGTCTCAGAGAATTTTTTAGAATGGCTGGTGAGAGGCAGTCTTCCGAAGTATATAATAATGTACAGTCAGCACAATTAGAGATAACGAATCAGGATGGTATTGAAAGTCTGCATGATAATGAGAATAATGGAAACGTACCTGCATCAAATTTAACTGTTCATAAAGAATGCAAGGCAAATGGAAATCTGGATAATGATTGTGTAAATTTAGATTTAGATAATCATAATTCTAGATTTGAAAGTTTATATAGTCAACCAATTGAGTCTCATGACTCAAAATGCAGTAATGGAAATGTTAATAATGAGATATGCTTCAAGCAACAGGAAACATGTCCCATAAATCCACCTTTAAGAAGATCTTCCAAAACTTTATCGTTTGGAAAAAGAAAAGGTAGCGTACAACATTTTTCCTATTTCATTAGTCTTTAATGTAATGCATTATTTTTAACGTTATTAGGTAAACAACGTAACAAGGATCAAAGTCCAGTGTGTACCCATGTTTTGACTCCAATAAAGAAACGGAGTTGCTGGGTATTAAAATTTAACTGTGCTAAGAATAAAATTTCTAAGAGCACAGACATTATTCCTGGTCAAGGAAGTAATAGTTCGGAATGCGTTTGCACTGGTTATAGAAGAACTGATGAACACCCTATGGGTGCTGGTGTTATATTTAATAGTAAATCTGCTCCTCAGAGCCCAATACTTGGTCCACTTCCACCAAGTCCTGTGATTGATCTTTCAAGATTCAATCCAGAGGAATTCCCGATGGAAGTATGTGTTACTATTACTATTATTTTATGGCACACTTGCATAAAATATAAATTGGTATACTTTATTTCAAAGGATTGTGATGAGAGAGCTCGTTTGCAACGTGCTCGTGAAATGGAGGAAGGTGTTGAACCTCCTCCTGGTTACAAGCCTAATCCTTCGGCGATCCAAGTACATCCAAATGGAATAACGGTGGACAGTTTAGCAGCTTTGTTCCAAGCGCATGCTGGTATACACGCAGCTGCACTCACAGCATTATCACAGATTGACTTTACGTTAATTCCGAACATTGAACGACCCGCACACACGCAGGTAAATTCTAATAGTTTATTTCTACTTAAATATGACAGAATGTGATCGTCATGGTCGGTGGGTTACAACTGATATTTATATTATATTTACAGGTTGATTACGTTCATTGTCTTGTGCCGGATTTAGGTTCAATTACAGCTTGTTCTTTTTATTGGGGTAAGATCGATAGATACGAAGCTGAACGTTTATTAGAGGGTAAACCAGAGGGTACGTTCTTATTACGTGACTCAGCACAGGAAGAGTTCATATTTTCCGTTAGTTTTCGAAAATATGGACGATCTCTGCACGCCCGAATCGAACAATGGAATCATAAGTTTAGTTTCGATTCACATGATCCGGGAGTTTACGCATCAGAGACGGTACGGCATAGAACTTTATTCCGATTTACTAAAAACGAACATGACACGTTCGACACAGAAATGTTCGAAGTTTCGCACGTATTTTTTCTTTCAGGTGTGTGGTTTAATTGAACACTATAAGGATCCATCGTGTTCTATGTTCTTCGAACCTATGCTTACAATACCATTACATCGAAATTTTGCTTTTCCTCTGCAACACCTATGTCGTGGAGTAATAACCACACGAACGACTTATGATGGTATAAATAAGTTACAATTGCCAAAGACACTCAAAAGTTATCTCAAAGAATATCACTACAAGCAAAGAGTACGGGTCAGACGATTAGACACGGAAAATGATTTACAATCAGATGGAAGATCCATATCATATTTACCTTTAATATGAATCTCTGCATTCATATTCAACAGTTTATTGTCTTTAAATTCGCAACTATAGTTTGTTACAGTGATATGTGGCGTATATATACATACATACATACATACATACATATATATATATATATATATATATATATATATATATATATATGTATATAACAACTAATTTAATATCACTGCCCGGAGTATCGATTCAGAAAGTGTTATTAATTTTACGTGAGTGTGTAAAAATTTGAAAAAGAATGTTCCCTTTTTTTAATATTATCCGTCCTTTATTTTCTTCTCGTTGTAACAATACATAGTATTCTTTTCTGCTTTCTTCAAGTATTGAAAATATTTACTCTCTTGTATGAAGTATTACAACGTTGAATGATTTTTTCGAGACTTCGCATGCATCAAACGGATTGCAATATTAGCAAATAAAACTACGCATATTCTACATATGAATCGTTAGCAAATTTTGAAACAGTAGCTGCCGTTTTTCATATTATCATCATCTTTTACATTTGCATCACAGATACAGATAATACATAACGAGAAAGAGGAGTAACATGTAAATACATTACTATAGTAGTTTGGAATATGCAACATACATATTTTAAGTTTTATATGTCTAGTGACTGAAACATTTTTTTTTCAATGTGTTTCATTAATATTTTTATTTGTAACTTACTTTAGTTCATATGTTTCTTCGAGATAAAAGATTTCTTAATGCGATGAAAACTTTCTATTAGAACACATTTTGTGTCTTCAAAACTTTTGGAAAGCCTGATCTTCCTGGTTTGCTTAATTGTAACATGAATTAGTTACAACTTTGTTCACCTTTATTGTTACTAAATATTTAAAAAAAATTGAAAGGGATATATCAAGTGTATGTAATTATATTTAATCTTAAAAAAGTAATTACTTTGTTGTAAAAATTTGGAGAATAAAGGATTCGTTTATCTAATTAAATTATTTTGATTTACTACAACAAATTGATACATTGAATATGGTTTACATGGAATACATAGAATATGGAATACATGAATAAGGTTTTATATATAAATTAACTATTGATCTTAATTATAACTGCAATAATTTATGTACTGGGATATTGAATAAGTTCTTGCTGTTTTCCAACAAGTGGCGTTAACAGTACTTACGTAACAAGTGGCGTACACTTAGTTGAAGATGGTAACATATATATAGAAATATTATAAGCAAGCTTGAAATTAAGTACATGTTATTTCGCTAAAGTGCAAACAGCTCTTTTTTTCATACCGTTAAACATTTCAAATTTCGTGCCAAAAAAGAGTATTTGCGAGGAATTTTACTGCACTCCTTTATTAAAAAGAAATCTGTAGCTGAAGCACATAGAATTTTTCTTGAAACTTATAGAATACTTATCATGCTTTGTTGGAAAGACGGGTCGTTTTTCCAACGTGGATTTCTAATGCTGTCAGAAAGATGAAAAAAAGTAGTGGCTAACGATGACTAATACTTTGAATAACATGTATTTTACTAACTTTTTTAAATAAAGTATTAATTTCAATGAAAATACAGTGATAACTTATTCAACCTCCCAATATGTATTTATTTTCTTGTTCATAATATGAGATCATTTTAATTTCTCTTATAATAAATATTGCTCATTCATACATTTTTTTTGAGTCCAATGTATATTGTACAAGTGGCAGAACAACCTTATAATTCAACATAAAGAATCCTAAAAATAATGTGATTAGGAATATATCTGCAATAGTATAGGAGTAATACTTTGGCTACTAAATATGTAACTACAGATTATGGTTCTTGAAACAGTAACTTTCTTATACAGAAAAAAGGATACTAATAAAGATTCTTTCCCACTTTTCTACCATGTATAATTCCGTGACAAGCATGTACCTAAAGTACCAATATTTTAAAAATGCGAATAGTCTTTGGAACGGATTAATCATGTTTGTAATTATTCGCAGAAGACTAACTTCAACCAAATTTATGATGATATGTTGCAGACAGAAGACAACAAAGTTAATGAAGGTTATAATAATAAAGAGGAAATGAGAGTTGATGAGAGTGTTCACCAGTGTTCACGGCATGCACCGAGGAGATACCGGCATGCTATCCCATGGTGACCTCTTTCCCGAATTGGCCGCAAGGTGCAGCACTTTCGTTGTTGCTTCACATGAGAACAAAGAAGTGAGCACTCTGTTTCTGATACTATTGTACGACGTACGTACGATACCACCACGACAACCTGTCGTCAGACGTTGGGGACGTTGGTTGATGTTGGCTTTACGTCAATGCTAAGGAAGCTATTTTAATTTCGAATTTCGGATGACCCTGATGTTCCCTGTTAAGTGTACGATACGTGATAGCACATCATCTCAACTATTGAGTAACAAGGTTGAAATTATCAGAAAAACGAAAAATAATGTCGAAGGTAGGAATTAAATCTTTTTAACACATGCAATGTAAGAGAACGTGGATGATCATCATGTGTTACTAATTATACTACTTATTCATTATAAATTACATGAAACATATGTCCTTGTCAGATTGATATTCAGTAGGAATTTATTTATAACATTTGTATCAAATGTTAAAGATATACATTCGTTTTAGATGAGTGAACCACCAAAATATTATGGGAAAAGAAGGAGTATTGTACGTAGGATCGGTTCAATGTTACCTTTGAAACCACCTCCAAGAATATATGTCAGTGTTACTCCTTTACATTCAATGACAAGTTCCATGATCAATGAAGAAAGTAGTGGTGATCATATGGATACAAATGGATATGGGCCTGCAAGGTTGCTATAGACATATATTTATGAGCTCATTCTTTTCATGATTTGACAAAATCATTGGATAACATATATTTTTGATGCTAGGTTATCTAATGTTAGACCAGACTTATTAGAACCTATTAGTTTTGGGTCTGAAGTTCGATTGCTTGCCCTAGAACAAGAACTTCAGGAACTCAGGGAACAAGTCTCAGCTATTGTTAAAAGTAATAAACAATCTAGATGTATGTATGAGAAATATCTTATGACTTTAGGTCTTATGTTTTAAAACCATTTTAACCAAAGATTTATTTAGATACATCTAGTGCTTCTTTAACAAATGGCACAGAAAACGAGGATCTACAACAACCACCACCTCCGCCGCCGCCACCACCACTACCACCGCCAACTCCTCACATCGCGAGGAGAGCGAGTTTACAAGAACATAAAGTTGAAGACCGCAAGAGAAGTCCATTCACATCGCAAGCATCCATGACAGATGTATTGAAAGACATCGATAATGTTAAATTGAAACCGATCGCTAAGTACGCTATTCCTTACATTTTTTACAATTCCACAAGATTGATTTCTTGACGATGCATATTTTTTTTAGATCGCCTGGTGGGCGAACTCTTCGTTTAAGGCGAGACAACAGTCCATGTAACGATTTGCAAGAAATACTTAGAAGACGCTATATCGCTATGAATTCGGGTGATAGTAGAAGTTCTTCGGTCAATTTGATGGTCGACGAGTCGTTTCCCAATGACGCATAAAGATAGACTGAATGTTTTCATTGTGTGTAATGAAGATGTCATTTAATAATTTAGATGACGTCAGTTCATAACAATATTTAATTGGTCAGATTCGTATGTATCAAAATAACAACATGAATTTTGGGGATTAGACAAAAATCAGAACGTCATGTGTCTCTATGCAACCATTGGTCTTCTATTGCAATTTATGTTTCGAAAACTAATATTTTCTCTTCTCAACGATATTGAAACGAATGTATGTAAACCAACCAAAGATTACATATTGTACATCGTCCTTAATCAAAATATTGAGTTGTAAACTTGAGTTATGAAGAAAATTAGATAGGATATTTTTTAATCTTCACGAGACGATAGTCTAATTACAATACTTCTGTTTTTCATATTAAATAGAGATTATGTATCATTTTATTGAAATGTGTATCTATTATATTTTGTACATCGAGAATTTATATTTTTGTATCAATTTAGATAAGTTGACGATAGGTGTAAGTAATCGGTTTGAGTTTGAAGTTAGGACCAAACCTTAAAGTTTGTTACCCATGTTTCTATTTTAAGAAAGCGTGTCGACATTTTGTCGTTCTATTTCGATGCATTCACGCTTATGTAACTATTTCAATCATTGTTTCAAAATCTCTTCATTTAATGGGATATAATTTACTTACAACATATTTCAAAATTTTTCGAAGTTATTTAACATGATGTATATTTGAATTATGCAATGACCAAAACAATGATCGGTTTTTATGTATAAAATTGTGTAAAGAAGTTGTATAAATTAAAATTTATAACCATTATTTCGTATATATTTGATAGTATATATTTGATATATAGTGTAATATATTTGAATAATATATTACACTATACATGTAATAAGTTAATTAAGAAGTTCTCAGATAGAAATATAAGCTACAGTTTACAACTCAATATCGTACAGATCTGATTTTTAATTTTTAAGAAAGAATTACGTTCAACCTCCACTTTACTAGAACGAAAAAAGAAAGTAGGTTTGAATATTAATTTAGAGCGCAATTGCTTAGCCTCTGGGCAATAGAACTGTATTATAATTTGAAAGATTAGGTTCATTTGAAATTCAGTTCTTTAGACGAGCCTGTTGTGATATTAAAGGTCATATAATGACTTCGTATCCTTAGGTCGTGCCATAGACAGCAGTATGAATAATCTCAATAGATAAAACAAAGAAGAACTTACATTAGGTCACGCTTGTTAATACAATGAATAGGAAATGACATTTTTTTTTACGAAACGTATTCTCGTAATTGTAAGTGACCGAACAATGAATCGTATGTGCACGCATAATCAGAACGCATAATTAAGATTAGGAAACTCGTCTTTTGATATCGTGCACTTGAAACGTTGTTTGAAAACGTTGATTGTATTTATTCAGGTTGATTTGACTCACAGTCGCACTTAGAAAGTATTTAAGAAGTGTCTCGCGAGCATACGAAGATGACGATAATTTCGATTTCCGATTTAAGTTAAAAAATATTTTCTTTGATTCTTCTTTGTATTCTTTATGAAAACGGCATAAAGTTCACGCTTTTAACTGTTTTCTGACATGAATGTATGCGAATAATGTAACTCTCAGTTGAAAAAAGAATATTGTAACCGATTTTGGAGACTGAGTGTACTTTAACGATATTACAAACATACGGAAGGTCTGTTTTATACAAGAAGCTTTTATCAATAATTGAAAAATAAAATGTTATTGTTAAACAATAGACGATCTATTCATTCCTAATCCAGACTATTTAATTTAATGTAATTTTTTTATTTTATCTATTTATTTTTATTTACGTGATCATTTTTTCTAAATAGACATATCGATCAACGTGACGTTTGCAAGGTAATTTTAAGTTAACTTGAAAGTTTTTAATCACTACATAGACACATATAGCCTCTGTAGATAATAATTACAATTTCTAATGATATACTCGGTATACACAATGTTTCTTAATAATAATTGTCGCTTTTGTCGATTTTATTACTGGTTACTACATTCGAAACTTTTGATAATGTCGCGTGAGAATATAAAGGGCTGAGAGAAGGGGTGGTTTAATGAGTTTTGCGAATGAAGAGCATGAGACACCTTTCCTATATAAATGCAACCCCTGAGGACCACGACAAGCAGTATCTCGAGTTTCGCAACATTGAACTCTTCGATCTCGTAGAGGGTTTCCAAGGTACTGAGTTAAATACTATTTCTATGTTTATTTTCTTCCTCTTATGTATTGCGTGAAAACTGATTATACTTTTTTTTCTTTATTCATATTATAAATAATTTTATAGTTTAATTATGTCGTTCAAAACAATTTTCTCGAACTATAAAAAGTATGAGAATACAATTGACGTAATTATAGAACACGTTCCTCGTAAAGTAAATAATTTATGGGCTCACGTGCGGATAATAATACAGACGTCAGTGTAAAAAATAATAAAAGTATGATTGTTGAAGCAAAATAAAGGAATTTAACTATCGACGAAGTAATACATTGCTCGCGAGTGTGTTAGGAAGAATTTCAATTAAAGCAAAAGAATATGCACAAAATGAATTATGTGAAATAATAAAATAAGCACAAGGTTGCAAGATTAGTATAACTTATGAAACAGACAATAACGTTTGGTATGTGGATTTTGATGATTAACGAACTTTGTTTGAATGATGATTTTTTACCATAAGTGATAAAGTTATACATCCATATAACATCCTCGGATTTTCAAAAAGCATGCTTAAAATTGTTATTAAAGAGTCGAATATAAAATTTAAATATTTTGCCCTTTACTGTTTTCTTCGTAAATCTGACTTGTAGCAACTTCTTTAATTTTCTGTTATAGTTCATAGTTAGCTAATTTGACACGTAGCAAAAAATTAATTCATCAAGTCCAATAATATTAGAAAAGTTATTCAATTTCTACGAATATTTATGGACTTCATTGTGTATGCTTTAGATTTTAATAAGGAGTAAAATCTGATATTGTCATTATTGTCTGAGAATCGAACAATGAAAATCGCGTGAAGACGTTTTGCGGGATGTTCGACGACAAAAATCAGCTCGTCTCTATGCGTCGAAGATTCTGGTCACGTTCCTTATCCGCCGGACACTTAGTAGCACTTACTCTTATCTTAATGACCGGGGACGCGCGTAGCGCTAATGGTTCCTTTAAAATTAGCACTTGAAAACGTACGAGGGCACTCTAAAATTTTTCGAAAAACCTCACGTGACGCCTTGCTAGGTGTACCCACTGTCACCGTACCAGAGATAAATGACCAGTTTTCTCGTTGTCTTTCTCTTCTTCGAATCGTGTCGTGGTCTGCGATTCTGCGACCATTAAGTCTGGTTTTGGTTGAAATCGGTGCGAATGTTAAGTAAATGGATTTTAACATTCGCGAATTGTTTTATCCCTTCCTCTTGCAATTTCACAAGATTGTGAGTTAATTTCTGTAATGGAATCCGATTTCTTATATTTATCGTTATTGAAATTTCGCCTGCATTTAAAAATCCATCGAAGTTTTGAAACAAAATCAAAACTTAAATCGAGATCTGGAAGTTGATATAGTACGTTCCTATTATAGTATTGTCACGGCAGGTAAGACAGGACGAAAGCGTACTCCGGATTCAGATCAGATCCATTTCTCGGTGATCGGTTTGAATTTGTGGCTTTTTGAGCGTTCGAATGGATAAAAAAGAAGTTTAATTCGCGATAGTCCAAAGAGTGCGAACGTAAAACAATGGACTGTTCGAGTCACGGCTGACTTATCGGATCAACGATCCGTTCGACCGTTTTAAGATTCCATAGACCAGGCTGTTCGGTCACCTGTTTTATTTTTACGTAATTCGTCGTAACAGTGAAACGGGTGCAATGTAATTTGTAAGGCGAGCGGAAGAAAGTTATTTGGTCAAAACTATTTTAACACCTGTAGTTAATTATTTTACAGAAATGTATTTTCACCGATATACTTATTTTAGTTAAGGGGCTGGAGTATTCACGTAACTTTTTTAGCAATTGTCGAAATTAATTAAAATTTATCAAGTTTTTGATATTGTTTATCCTGTTTTACCGATAATTTGGCAGAAACAGTGCAAAAACAAGAATCGACTTTTCGTCCTTATATTACGCGATTTTCGGATCAGTAAATATCTCTTCGGAAAGACGAGATCTGGGGCACTATGATTTTATTACATATTATATTTTATTACTATTACAATTTACTCAGGCCAAGTACATACCTAGTTTTGCAATTTTATAACGTATCTCTAATGCGATCGATACATATTACAGTTATCGAAATTCGTATAGACACAATGTAATATAAGACTATATACCGAAAACTACAAGTTTTTGGCATTTAGAACAAACACCATTATAATCTTCGAGAATAGAGGTGTTTCAAATATTAAAGTGCTGTCAAACGTTACTTGTTGTATATGTATATATGTATAATTCTTCCAGATGGTCAATGTTCATTTTCTGGTCTTGTTCGTCTTGTCATCAACTATGGTGACAGTTATGTGCCAGACGTTCCAGTACAGTCATGGGTGGACGAACGGAAAAAGGTCAACATCGCCTGTGTTAGAGGAACTCGTCAATTCTGTCAGCAAGAATCCAGGTCAATTAGACAATGTCCTTGTTAATTGTGAGCTACAGAATCTGAGATTACTGGTTCGAGAAAATATTAACGACCAAGTGAGTAAAATTGCAATAAACTGATTTCTTTTTTCAAATATATTGTGACATTATCTTTTATAATTTTTATAAAGGTGATTGTAGAATTTTGTGAATCTGTGTTTTTAGCAATGAGTTCTAGTTATTATAATTGTTATAGTTACTTCAGTTGCCGTGCGAGCTGTTCTTCTCTCTGAAGAAAAGTGTAACCGAGACTATGGCCAATGATCACTTTCATCGACAACCTAGCTCAACCAGTAGCAATTATTAATGCTGTTACCATCATACTTTTGACCACGAAAGCTTCGATTAATTGAAAATTACTAATAAAGAGCAACTTCTGTAGAAACATTTATTTCTCATTCACTTTTCCTAAACACCGCACAAAGTGTATTAATTTATAGTCTTTTCTCAGTTTCGTTCTCAAGTAAATCGAAGGCTCGAATAATACGAATTGAAGATTCATTCATTTTTATTAAAGTGTGTGCGCACGCTAAGAGATAAACGTTGAAATAAAATAATTTTTTGAATCAAAATTTCATTAGTTCAAATGTTGTTGAAAATGACTTCCTCTTTTTGCCAACATAATTGAACTTTGTGCAGGACATTTCTGTTAATATTTTTTAGGATTTTCTCTTTTAAGTGTTCGATTAGGGTCATACTTTTATTGATTATTTGAATTAATAAAAAGATGTTTGATTATAAAGTAATTTTATGTTATTCCCTTGTCCCTTAGTTCCTAATTATATCGTTCAGACATAAAAATAAGTAAGTTTATATGAAAGCGAGTAGGTATGCTTCAGCTAGAAAGTACAAGTCTACAACACCGATTTATTCGAGAACGAAACCATAAATAAAAAAATCATTATTTTTTCTATTCGGCTTATTTTTTTCATGTAAATTCTTATCAGTATCAATATACATATTCCTCGCGATCTGTTCGTCTACATCAGGCGACGTTCGGCAACATGTCTTCGGCTAATTTTCATCGTGTTTCTATTTTCGCCCATCTCCAATTACAGTTGCCCCTATCGTATCGATCAGAATTAAATATTTAAATCTTGTGTACGGTATATTGCCTTTATTTTCCCGGAAATACGCTCGGATTTAAATGATAGTTCATCAATCATAGTTAACGATCAAATTGTTTTTATCGAACGGCAGCGTATTTGGATTTGTATTAATTATCGAGAATTCTCCTCGCGGGATAACGCGGTAGCCGGATCCAGCTCTCATCGGCCCGTCCGAACGGTTAATTAAGTTTTCACTGTCCTAATTGGACAGACGGTCAATAGGATAGATCGCGGCGGTGGCTATGTTGTACAAGCTCAAACGTGGGGGGATTTCGTCTGTCAACGGAAGATGGAGTGAAACCCAGGCGAATAGAGACACTTGCTGAGTCCATGGATTATCCCTACGGACAACTTATCTCGAGCTGCAATTCGCTCGCCTGAATTTGGAGACTTTCTATCGCCTTTGTATTACACTCGATAAACATCATCGTTCGGAACGAGGGAATCACGGTAGTCGATGTTTCCACGATTACAGTAAGAATTTCCGGAAACGAACGAGTATATTCGTAATGGAAAATGGCACCGGAGATTAGAAATATAAATCACTTTGCATAATAATAAATTTTGATTGGCCGATTGTCAAAAGAGAAAACGCGAACCAGCTGCGATTAATGAAGACGTAGGGCTAATTACAAATGTGAGAGTAATGGCAGTTCACGTGCGCAAGACGTTCCCTCACGTGCTAGTTAGACTCGAGCAAGAGATAGAGCGCGAGAGACAGAAAGAGAAGGCACTCATGGTTATTAGTTGATAGCGTCAGGACCCGTATATCATGCACGGGCAATGCACTTAAAACTTGGCTGTTAATCAGAAACCAATTACGGTAGGCGGGTCGAAATGAGTTTAATCGCATTAAATATTAAAGCGCCGTCACCGGTGTCATGGGACGACGGGGGTGTACCCGACCAGCCGTATAGGTGACCCTCTTCCACCAGCCAGTCATGGAACCAGCCACACACCCGCCACGTGCCCATCCTGCAACGCTCTTCTGTCTTAATACCCCCGGGAAGGAATCGAAGAACCCTACGCCAATGTCCTTTGTAGGGTGGTACTTGCTCGTGCCTGGGATACGCATGCACGCCCGTTGCATTTGCCGATAATGCTCTTTTCTATTGTATTACGGGCACTCGCGCGTGAACGTTCTTGCCTCGTAGGTTCACGTTGGCCGATTCGAATCTTTAGACTTGAGGATATAAAAGACACGCAGTTGGAAACGTATAAATATATAATTTCCTCGTTTGAATATTTTTTTTTCATTAAGTTCGACCTAAGATTATGTAGATCGTCTGTCATAATTATAAAATCAATGAATACGTATACCTATTTACACATAAAATATTTCATTTTTTAGTTAAACGTAATATTTCTTTGTCGTATTTCTAGAGTGAAATGTATATCTGAAACGAGTTGTATTGTCCGACATCGTTCTCCTTGTTTCTGGCGATATTTAGCGTTGAAAATAATTTGGGAAAGACAGAAGCCCAAAGGAATCGCAATCTCTATTATCGTACGGGCCGATTAAATTCGTTGGTTACGTATTGCGCGGACGCAAAAGAGTCCTCTGATAGTACTTGCGTCCAGATTTACCGTCCCGCGGCGCGTGCATATTACATGCCGGTTCATTTTCACGGATGGCGGACCGCGTGTAAATCCGCGCTATAATATTTCATCGGGAATGTAGCGTCGCGACCTGTAAACTCGCGCACGCAGCTCGCGCGGAAACGAGTATCACTGATAGAAAAGAAGGAGACGGAGCGGTACAGCTATGTATAGCTGCAACAAGCACGCTCGTATAAATACATAAAATCGGGCAATCATCCTAAATGGGGCGACTGGATGGAACTCGAGGCTCGAGGTACGTCGCTTTTTTCGAGCTGTCGTCTGTCGGCTGTCGTTTGTCGCGCGACAAGGGAACCTTCGCGGGTACGAAGAACGAAAAAGCGCGAAACAAACGGGAGAAAATCGTTTGACGAGTACAATTCCGCCCCCGAGTGTGCTACTCTGACGTCATGCTCGTTCTTTCTCGTTGCGTTTATTACTTTACCGCTGGATGGATGCTTTTCCTCGATCCTGAGAGACATTTCTAGTTTCAGAAAGTCGGAAACGAGTTCTTCGAAAGGAACGAGTTTAGTACCACTTTAGTATTTTGGACACGCACCGTATTCTATGATACGTCAATGGAAAACTGTTTTCTTAAAAATTATAATGGTGTTTGTGCCAATTGTCGAAAATTTATAGTTCTCGGAATATTAATAAAAATATGTATGCTGATATTATATTACGTTTTTATCTACTATATGAATTTCTGGGTTATCATTTTCTGGGTTACTGTGATATCATTTCAGGATTGTGTTATAAACTCGCGGAGCGAAACATCTACAGAAGGTGCTCTCTTAAGTTTCTTAAAAACTCAACCTTTATACGTAGCGCGCCGCGTTTATATTTACAGTCGCGGTTGTAAAAAAGTAGCGTCATCAAACGGCTACCAAAATGATATCAGAGATGATATCATGTCAAATACTCTGTGTCAAATGCGTTTGGCTCGTATACATATGTATGTGTATAATGCATATTGCATACATGGATATAGACAAAACTCAATGTAATCGCAGCAATACTTTTGTTACTATCTTAGAAACTGTGAGTTGTCAAAAACTTAGAACTACATTTTAAATGTACATGGAAATGAAGATGGTTTTATGGAAATTCGGGGCAGTGTATTAGCAAGGAGAAAATAAGAGGAAAGAGATTGTTGTCGACGGAACGGAACAGAACAAAGACGTGGTCGTTTCAATTCTTTAACGCGGCGCCGATTCTCTACTAGTCTACTACGGTGTAGACCGCAAACGATCGGAAATAAAGACGTAGCTAAAGGAACAGTTACGGGAAGTTAGTTATCCTTCCTTCGACAGGAAATGCCGTTTAGCTACACTGTTCCAGAAAATGAATGGAAGTTAACGACCACGAAAATTGATCAAATATGCTATCATATGATCATCCCATCAGTTGTTCCGGTATTAAAAAATAATCATTCTGCCGGTTATTATGGAAGTAGTGTAAGTAAAAAAAAATGCAGAAACATTGAGACACTTATTTCTATTATATTCCATCGATTTATATTTCAATATTACAAAAGAATTTTTTGATTATAATGAAGAATATAATGTTTTTACTTACATCACTTATTTATATAATAACCGGCATAATTTAATATTATCTTCATAATTAGAAAAGATTATTTTCATTATGCATGAAAATAATTGTAAATTTTGTATTTATTACGAAGGTACCAAATTGTGTGAATGGATAAAAAAGAGATTTTTCCCTCAGTCTAATATGTATAAAGATTGTCATTTTTTTATATCATACGTTTCAAAAAATTAACGTACAATTAATAGCTATTTTTTTGTTTTTTTCTTTAGAGAATATTGACGCAGATTTATCTTTCATAAAATTTATTGACTCGCTCCTGTCATTTTCATCCGCGTCCGGGCGTTTCCCTCGGCGACTGGGAAAAAACCGTCGACCAGCTCGGTTTTCGCGGTTCGACTAAAGCACAATCACAATAAATTTACACCGGTTGCGTAAATATCCAGAGGAGCGCACACCTCATGATTTTATAAACGTGCTCCGGTTGCGTACATACGCGCGTCCGTGTTATGATCTATCTACGATGTCTACCCAAAAAAACGACAGGAACGGAAAGAGGGAGAGAGACGAAAAGAGAGAGGGGGGTGAGTCTCCATGATACGTTATAAAAATGTCAACCCTGTCAGAGAAATTTGAACGAATTCGATACGAGCGACTGGCTGATCTTTCATATCAATAAAAATCAACGTTTCCCTAATAAAGTTCAAATTCAAAAGATTATTGTTATTTAAACTGCTGTTATTTATTATTAAATATGTATTATTAAGTATCGTTAAAGAATTAGTTTTTGATTATGTTAGAGTTTCTCGCTTCAATATTAATATTAACATAATAAAACTCTAAAGCATAGACTTTTTTGGCATTGAGATCGAAGGCAGAGTCTAAAAAAATTCAAAGTGACCCATAGCGAAATAATTTTCGATCGAATAAGAATCTGTAAATGGGAACTAATATTTCGCATACATTAAGAAACTAACGTGCAGCTATATTTTGTGCAAATCAATGGGAAATCACAAAACTATAAAATATTTTCGTATAAAGTATATCCGTTGATATAAACTTGAAAGAATGATGCATTTTATGAACTTATCATAAATTAGTGTATAATCGAGAACTATAATTTTTATTGTAATATTTACTGTTGTTCTGCTAATTACTTTTAATCAGTCTGTTGTACGTATCATTGATATTTTAGACGCAAATAGCTTTCGCGATTACACTTCCTTCACCGTAGCAAATCACATGGCCTTGTGTATGTATATACGTGTACACATACTGTACGCATCTACATATACACGCGCATGTACATAGACCGAGTTCAGGGGGTGGTTTACCAGCGTGCATGGAGAAACACACGAAGGAAAATAATTGTGGAGTATCGCCTCGCCAGAGGGAAACTAATATGTATTGGATTAGTTTTTAATTTCACCTACCCTACCAATTTTGTTCGTAAAATATACGCCTGCATGTGCACACACGATCGTTGTACGCGCAATAAAGGATTCTATATTCCTGGCACGATTTTAGAAGCGAAGTGATATCGATAAGCAAATTAAAGATCAAAATTCATAATTTAAATACCTACAATAGTAAATCTTGATCCTTTTAATACTACAACTGACTTTAATCGGCATCCTCATAACGAAATATAGATGCATATAATTATAATTCTGTTTGTAAAGTGGAAACCGGCGACGAAGTCCCCAGTATAGAAAAAGATTAATCATGTATCTGGTAAGGAAAGAATTAATCTGTGTAGGGACCATGTAGCTCACGTAACAAGTGTACGAAATCATACAGTAATTTCAAAGGGAGATAGCAGAAAACGACGAAGATAATTAGCATAGTTTGGTGTCGGTGAAGAATAATTCACTCTCAGTACAATATTATGCGCATATGGGATCAGTTACTTGTCATTCAATTTACATAAATATGACGATCACGTTATGTCAGTGAATGAAATAACGATAATAATCGACGAAGATTGACAAAAGAATTATCCGATTTCACTTACTATTCCAATTAACATATATGTACCAAAAGCTAATTTGCAGACAAATGATTAAAATAAACCAACATAAATTGTTTCATTATATTACTTCCATGAGCATTATCTACAAGTGGAATAAAATTTACATATGAAATAAACGAACATGGATTTCCTCACGTTTGATTGACAACGCTGTCCCAAAGAGACTTCGTGAAACCGGATAATTCGACACCGGCCACTGTTGGAAACTAGAAAAACCACAGAAACATCTTTGCGGACAAGATTACAGGGCGCTTGTCGTGCAATCAAGAGACTTTCGGACGACAGAGTCGATGCCGATCGACCGGAAATGATTTACTTTCGATTTCCTCTATCAAATCTTAAGAACGATTTGAGTAGAATTTAAAACCAGCCTGAACTCGTACTACGTATACTTACATTAAATCGTGGCTGTTTATTCGAAACTTATTTATATTGAATTACAAGAAGTTTATTAAGTTCGAATCTTCCTCGCTTGTTTTACTAATTTCATTATTCCGAGCGACACTTATTACATTCTCTAGATGCAATAAGGATTATCTAACAGCGGTTATGAAAGATAAAATTAATTTATGTATAAATGAATAAGCATTAACGCGAATTTTGAACAGGATATTAAAACCTAATACAGCTAAAATGGCTATTTTTGTTATACATGGACCTAATAAGTGATTTAATTTCCGAGATTAACTGTGGAGTCTCATATACTGCGTGCATAGATATTAACAAAAACGATCCGATACTTTAGACCATTAATTACTTCGATTAGATCTCTGATCGATTAGGAAAATAAACAGTGAGACGCACCGTTGTCGATGTCTACTTTCATTATCTAAAATAATTTTCTAATGATACGGAAAAAAAGGCGTCCTTAGTCTGTCGACCAACTCAAATGCTTCTTTTTCGGCGGGCATTTGTCCCCAAATAATTGGGCGGAACGGCGCGCCGCGCCGCGCCGCGTCTCCTCTGCAATTACAGGCAGTAAACGTAGCCACATCCGGTTACGAGCAGCTCTTCTAGCTGAAGTGGGATAATTCGCTGCGGAAAGACAAAGATTAGGCCGATCAGACGGGAAAGAGAGGCGAGATCTCCGTCTGTATATCTTTGCCGAACGTAGTTTAAGAACGAGTAAAATAAAGATAGAAAGACAAGCATAAAACAAAATGAGAAGACTGTTTCATGAATGAAGAAGACTGAAAAATTATTTTTATTAAACTCTGGCAAGATCGTTCATTGTAAGGGAAAATGTTTGCTCGTTCACGTGATCATATAAATTTATTCTGTGCAATACAACTGAAAAAATATATACAGTGTACATTATAAAATGTATTCGGGACGAAGGAAATCAAATTTGTCACGATCCGAGTCGACAGGGATGAAGAAAGTTCAGAGTTCATGGAAATAGAACTACATAAGTATTCGCGAGAAGCACGGACTACGATTTCGCTGATTTCTCTTATTTTCTCATTTTATATCAACAAGATAATAATTAAAAAAAAAAAATGAAATTGCACTCTAATATTAAACAACAAACGTATACACGCGTTAAAGTTCATTTGTTTAACAAATAAATAATAGCCGAGGATAGATATTCCATCGTGTGTTCACTTATTATGAATTCGTGAAGTCTCGTATAATTCGACGTATACGCGTACCGGTTATTTTTATAGTATGCATATTTCCATTACTTCTCAATTATATACAACGTACATAGAATCATATGTACTTACATAACATCACATCGTTCGCTATGATCGATAAATCTACGGTTGCTTTTAACTTAAATATTGGTGCTTAATTAAAACGACATACACCCTCTATTTCGATGAAGACAATAAATCTTAACTGTAGCGATACACTTATAATACTCTTAATCATTCTTCACGATTTTTCGTATATCTAAGGAAATAATATATACAAATGGTGTATATTTTTGTGTATTATTAACCCTCTTCGCTTTCGGTCCGACACTTATTATTAGTTAATTCATATAATTTCAAAAAGGAAAATTATTTTGTTGAATAAAATGCTATATGAAAAATTTAGTTCGGAAGGTGTAAGGGAATCTTAGTTTCGGTCAATTCCGAGGGTTAATCAGTTTCACGCGTTGATCATTAATAGCCTTGGTGTTTGCCTAATATTTGACAGTGGATCGCAGACACAGATTAATATTGTTCGTACATTTTGGTACGTTCAGATACAAACTATCGCGCTAATATGTACATAGATATGTCGTATCGATCTTCTGATTAAGTTGCAATATTCGAGGGAAATGTTTCACGCCGATAATTCATGTAAATAATAAATCATATTTTACTATGTTTTCTATAATTTGCTGTTGCTATTTTACTAGAAATTCTCTTAAAGACACCTTTTAATATTCTCGATCAATGAAATTTTTAATTAAATACGAACAATGATAAATTAAAAATGTGATCATTTAAATGAATTTCGATTCGTATAATTTATAATGGTTCTGTAGCGGTATGTGACGCTATGGATCGTGAAAAAAGTTTCCCAGGAATTCGAGGCTGTCCAGATTTCAACTGTCTTCGCCTTTCCCGGCGTGTTTTCACGTATCCCTGGGTATCGCGTCTGTTTGACGAGGGTAAATTTTTTTTCGAAAACCGGAACGGAGAACGTAACGTGAAACCCGTAATTGTTTAAGTTTCTTTTTCGGCTGCCTATCAGTCCCCTCGCAATTCGTTAATTAAGTACGTCGATAAAATTGGCTGTCATGAAGGTTAAGACGTTTGATATTGCCTAGAAATAGCGCAATTAAGACTGCCAGGACTTCCCTCTCTCATTAGATCGCGGACAACTTTCTTTTCTCTCAATAAACGCCACGTCAAATTACGACCGTGGCAATTTAGAAAATTTTCTAAACACGTCTTCATTACGTGTACACGACTATGCCAGTGCGGATAATGGATCCATAAACCTACAGCAATTATCGCACGTTGGTTTTCAAATTAATCGAATTACGGCGACAATTGTCTTATCATTATTCATATTTTATCACGATTGATATAAAGAGAACCTGGTAGTTTGCTTTTATCTTTTTTTTAATGAATTTAAATGCTACAGACGCTAGATGTTATTATATAATTATGAGAATTGTCGTAATGTCTGGCGAAGCATTTAATATATTTACAATTTTTACAAGATCTCGATTAACTGTCATTAAAGGACTCTGGGTCTCGTGCTTAATACGCTATTCATATTTACATTATACCTTTTCAACGGCTAAAGAGGTTTTCAGGGGAGTTAAACGATCGACGAACCATGGAAAATTGATTGAGGTTTTGTTAAAACTAAGTTGTACGATATAAATTACAAGGGGCAAAAATAATTTATATGAAGATACTTACTTGAAATAAAACATCTTACTGCTGCAAGGGTCCAACGGAAACAAACGAGTAATTCATCCATCATACAACATAACAGTCGTACAAAACTTGAGACAACATTCATAACGCGCAATTCCATATCAAACTTTCAGCTTTTTGTACCAAACTTTAAAAATAAATCTATAAACAAATCTCACTGCTAGAGTTTGATCCCCAAAACTCTTATTTAAAAATTCTGAACGTTTCTAAAAAGAAGGTTCAATGGTTGAAACTATTATCTACAAATCATTTTCACTTTCTCGTTCATGTTTTAAGTGCAGAGTATATTACTATGTCGGTAAAGGACAATGTTTTTCTTTTTATAAAAATGTCTCATAAATTAGTATATCTATGTTTAATAGATTCACTCGGTCTTTGAATTTGCGTCAACTATTAACGTTCAGCAAATTGGTTCGGTTAGGGGTTGCGGGGGGCCGTACGGCGAGGCCCACTGACCCACGGCGTGGGTCAGAGTCGGTGGCGCTTGCTGTCTGTCCAAACTGGGAACGGGAGTCCCCGCTGGGTGGCTGGGTACCGTTGCAGGATAAGCAACTTTTCCAAGTGCCTCGGCTTGAAGGGACAACATCAACCGATTCGCCGCTTGCCTTTCCGCTTCTCTTTCTTCCGCCGTTTGTCTCCTAAAGCACACAGGAAGAATAAAAATAATCGAGTGTCTTCTGTACGAAGAAAACGTGTGCAAGGCAAATGAGCTGAAATTTTGATAGATAATAATTTAAAAAAATATGACGTTCAATATTTTAAACGTATTTTTAAAGAAATGTAGTATTACTTTTTTTTTAGCAGATAATGTTTGCATCTGGAAGGAAGTACTATAATCTATGACACAGAAAAGGAAAGATAGTGCGTGATCGCATACTTCAAAATTTGATAAATTAATGTTATTGCGTTTAAGTATATAGAAGTGGCTGTACTACTCATCGGGATCGGATTGGTTAAATGGCAGGGTGTTGGTGTCTGAAAGCCAAATAGAGCGCAAAAAGAGAAAAGAAAAATCGATTGGGAGTAGTCAGGGGGAGAGTGAAAAGAGACTGGCGTTTGTTGGGGTGGAAAACAGAAGACAAACGTAATAAAGTTAATTCGATTCGTCGGTGGCAGAGCGCTAGCTCGCTAAGGGGTGGCTCGAGGGTGTCTGTTCTCTAGCACTAAGTCTATTAGAGAACCACAAAATGGCCGGCTTGTCGGCAATGTCGATAGGTTCGCTTAGATGAGAATCTATATCGGAACTTTCTACTCCTCCGAGATCTTGTCTATAAATATTGATTAGAAAGCTCACTTATCAATTTTCGACTTATAGGAAATCACTGTTCAACTAATCAGCATGATTTTTTATGTAAATCGAAAGTATACAAAGGATCGCGAAAATGTAAGTTAAAAATTTTACCAAAAGTTGATCCGATTTTGGAAGGTAACTGAACGGTGGGTGGTCGTCGTACCGCGCATTAATTTTCGACGTCGATAAATATCGGGAAAAATCGCAAAATTCAAGAGTTTGTATTATTGTAATCATTTCGAAATCAGCGAAGTGATAAATCAAATCTCCGTTCATTTCATCTGAACTACATTTACGTACTTTGCGCACGTTTGCGAGGAACGATCGTGTACAACTTAAAATTAACATGGACACAATCATTAACGTTCGATTTGTCATTATTTCAATTTTCCATATGCTATGATTACTACTATACACTTCATATTCATGCACAGAGCAGATCGATTATTTACGTCTTTTTCCTTCGTCACTCATGGCTGACAGAAAAATCACTGGAATTATTCACTTTGGACGATTATTAATTAGCAGATTAATTGCATATTATTTCTCTTGTAGTAGTAACTTTTATTCTACATTTTCATGATTTCTATGATAGATACTTTGAATTTGGATAAAAATGTCTGTGCGATTCCGTCAACAAGCGAATAGCGTTCTCTATTAATACTTTCATTACTTTTGTTAATAAGGTAGCTCACAAGTCCACGAATTTATCAAGTCATCGGCTGGGCAAAGCTGGCGTTAAAGAGATTGGAAGTCAACGAGATTGGGCCGAAAAGTTCCTCAGTCTGGAAGGCGCCAGAGCGGATAACGTCTGGTCGCCAATCAGCGAGCCGCTTCCATACGAGCCACGAAACACCGTCGTTCCATTAGAGTTAATCTTCGGTCCTCGGTAATTAAACGGTTTCGTTGTACCTTTGTTTATCTCTCCGCGAGAAGCGGTTTTAGCTTCCTTACCGAGAAGAGAGAAAGGGAGAAGGAAGGAGAGTGGGCCTCCTCGGTAGCTTGTGTATCACGGAACGGGTCCGTTTCGATCGGGACACAACTCGATCGGTTTGTCGGACGATTAACAACTAGAACAGCCGACGATGTCAAGCAGAGATCTTAGATAACGGGAGTTCTCGACCGCAATCAACGCGCTATCGACTCGTTTATTTTTCCGCTTGTTACAACTGCGGTGCTGGTAATTGTAGAAAATACTTGCGGACGCGCGAAACGTCGTGGAGCACCTTATCTTCTCGTTCGACCGGCCGCTTTCTAGCCGATTTACGATTTCACCCTTATGATCGAACGTTATTAAATGCCCGAGATATGCTATCAAACAAAATTAATGAAAAACGAGTTTCAAAATTGGGTCTGAATGTAATTGAACACGCTTTAAAAGGAGAAAGTTGGATTTTTAGTACGAAATTCATTTAAAATTATGACGCGATCTGTTTAAAAAAAGAACGACCATTGAAATGTTATTCCAAATGCAAGTAAATGGGGATTGCTTACGAGTAATTGCGACTGAGCTTTTTGTGCGGTAAAATGTAAGAATTGAAAGCAATCTTGAAGGTATACCTGATAAGTGGAAAAACTTGTTATGCGTAGTTTTAGTTTCATTCGATTACATTATAAATTTAATGGTGGAAACAGTATCGTTTAACACTACTTGGAACTGTATAGAGATAAAGCTAGTTACCATGAAGGATCGATTAAATAAAAAATGAATTAAAAAAATAAGTCTCCAACGTGGGATATGTACATAGAAAATGAATTCCATCGACTCGAATACATAATTCGAATTCAATTTCTACTATCGAATGAATTCCGCGCGTACTTCGTTCGATAGGTTGAACTTCGCGGAATTTCCAGGTGGCAAAGTATACCGGCAGAAAATCGATAAGATTTAACTCGATGTCCCTTTTATTAACGGCAGCCGATTCGATTACATCCCAGCCCATCGCGCCGGTCCACCGGAAAATCTCCCGGTGGCTGTGCCGCCGTTCCCAGTGACAGCCGCGCGTACACCCGTACAAGTAATTAACGCGGTTACCAATTAATAATTGAGGGGCGCCGTGCCGATTACATTTTGCAACCCCGACGCGACGCAGCCTCGCCCCATTCGCGGTGTAAACTATAGGCATCCTCCCGACACCCTGGGACGCATTACCCTTATTATCGTTATCCCTCTTATCGTCAACTATAACTTTTGGTTACTATTTCCTACGGAAACATACACATGTATAGACAGGCGTATTTCGTGTTATCGTGTTAATTACGTAACGAATAGAATGCGTTAAAGATAATTTATCGAATAAGTATGATCAAAGGTATGGTGAACTTGTTTTTTTTCATGGGTCCGATTTCCATAAAAAAAAGGAACAACGAGTACCTTCCGAATAGCTTTGGTTGTTCGTGTACAACCAGTTACGGGCGTGATCCAACACAGGGAAACGATGAATCTTTAACGAGGCGAATCGCGATGGGGTCTCGGCGCGACGGATCGAAACGATCCGAATCGCGAATTCGAGAGTTTTGACACTTTAAAAGCGGCGGTAAGACTCTCAGGGAAGAGTCGGCGACCGGACTGGATCTCTTGCGACACCGACGAAGGGGTGCGATTTACTTCGAGGTGGTGGAGATGAGAGCATCGGGAAAGAGAGAGAGAGAGAGAGAGAGAGAGAGATAGAGAGAGATAGAGAGAGAGAGAGTGAGTTGGCAGTCAAAGCAGAGGCGGATGGGGGAGCACGATGGGGTGGATAGACTGCATTATGTACGGGAC